AGGACCAAGAGAATGCAAGGACATAAAAATATCTGACTCATTTGTCTATAGCCGTTATCTATTGTTATATAAATTAACTTAAATTTTAATTACACATTTACACTGAATTACTTTGAAATTTATCCGTAAGAAAATTACATTATATTTTTTACTTTTTAAATTTGGATAATGTTATTTGTTTATAAATTTGCACCTGTAACATGTGTCTATCATAAAATAGTGACAAAAAATTGTGTTGATTAAAAACTTAAATACAATACATGGTTCTTTTAATAGGAAATCCGTACTAATAAAACAATGTAATTGCCATTGCAAAGTCATTAGTTAACATTTGTATATTATCCTCTCTTAATTTATGGGATAATAAATAATAGTCATAGTCAGTCAAGAGTCTACTACAAGATCTGTAAACATAAAATAGTAAAATTACGTTTTTGAATATTCCCAAACTTACCCCAAGAGTCCGTCAAGAAATTCTACAACTTCACATTTCCGATTTTCTCTATTGGCAAATATTGGGAAGTCTATCATGAGTTTGAAATAGTAGTTTTAGCCGACAAATTATTGTTGTTTTTAGCAAAGCTTATCGCAAACAAGGAGACAGTAACTGACACTTAGGTTTAACTTTAATCCTGAGTACTTTTATTAATTGATGCAATGTATTGAAAACTTTCAAAACAAATTATTACGTATTTAATTCAAAGGCCATGACTATTCGAGCATATATTAGAATGTTCACGTCCTCGCAAGTTTATTTTGGCACAGACATTAAAACATGATGACGTATGTAATCATACCAATAATGCAAATGTTTTGGTATCTTTATCTTTTTGGCTCGGTAATATTGAACGACAATGTTTGCTTGTTCTTTCCTTACATTAATACATCGTGTTAATACTTTTTAACCTAATTCTAAGCAGACGTTTAGACGAAAATAGATTTGTGTAATATGTATGGTACTTGCCTTTAAAAACTAAACGTTAATCCAGCGTTTTGCTACTACTACAAGAGCTCTGCAGTCATTAAACTGTCTTGTCAAAAAATTTACAAAAATTGTCGTGTCTGTTCTAGGAAAAACATACAAAATCCAGGATGTATTGAATTTAGAGGGTAGGACAGAGGAAGTAAGTGCGATAACATAATAGAAGTGGCGTAGAAGGTGTTCAGCTTGCCTTATTCCTTAAAGTAAAGGAAAGAGACTCAGAAATCTAAGGCCAACCTTCAGCACCACTGGCTTTATTAAAGTTAAATCAACATATGTATTTATTTTTTGTTCACTCATGAACGTCGAAGTGTATAAATTGTTGCTAGAATACTTAACTAAATTATACCTTCATTTTGACTTTAAACGACTTAATCTTCAAGATAGCGACTAATTCACAATAACATTTTGTGAATAACCATTGTAAAGATTGGTTATATAAATTATATTTTCTCCAACAATTTTTTATTGAATCTCAAGGATCTAGTCTCAATCTGAATTGTACTTTTGCATTGCAGGATGTCCTTCGTTACCATCGCTGCAAGAAAATTGAGGCCAAGAGGGGCTTAATTCAATTTTCTATAAATATACTACAATACATATTTACTTCAACGTGCATAACGATGTATTTGTTCAATTGAAACAGGTTTTCTTTATATTTAGATGTCTCAAAATGTATAATAGAGCGCGTATTTTACAACAAACGTATGCAATAATAATATTCGTTAATTTTTTTTTTCTTTCACGACAGCGATTTAATGAAAGTCACTTGAATATCCTAAGTTTTAAGGATTTCAATCGTAAATCATCGTTACAAAGAGTATTATTACTCTGAGTGTTATATAAACCTTTTTCGGGTTTATACCTGTGCATTCATTTTTATATTAATGTTGCTTAAAGTTCAATATTGTTTTTTTATTGCTTAGATTATTTATTTAAATCTGGTTTGTCTGCTTTTAGCAATAACAACGTTACATCCTTGGTTTTTTTTCATGTTTTGTGATATTGTTTGTCTTGTTAATAGAGGGTTTATTATTTATTATTAGATTCTATTAAAAAGGTTGATTAAACCACAGCGTATGAGTTTACCGACAGTGCCTTCCCCATAAAAAATACTGTCTTGTAATCAATTACGTATATTAGTGGTGTCCTGTGATGTAGCGGATACATGTTAACCTATTTGTGGAGTGTGGATCCAAGTGGCCTGACCGTGCCCTTAAGGTCCTTTCAAATCATGGCTGCGTTTTTAATTTAATAAAGGTAAATGTTATTTAAATGTACGTCAAGTAATGTAGATCATTCAGATCATTCTAGAGGCTTTACATGGAACTTTTAAACGATAAATAACTAGCAATTTAGTAATTGCAACGTGTATGTTCATTCGACTTATATAGTCCATCCAATTCTGCTTTACCCCACAGACCAAGTTTTCAATATTCTTATAACTTTATAAGGATAAATTTAATTAAAAATTTACAAATGTAACGAATTTTTATTACATAACTGGACGTGTCACTCGCTCGAAACATCGATTCAAAATTGAATAATAAACTCGTGTTTAAATGTTTAAATTTTAATCAAACATTAAGTATTAAAACATATCGAAAAGTTTGTACTTCTTTTTACAAATCTCTTTTAGGTTCTTGTTTATTTCCGTCTTAGAATATTCACAAAAGCATGACTAACTTCTATTGATATTCATTATAAATCATATTTGAAATAAATTTTAGTCAATTCACACAAACGTTTATGTAAATAAATAATTTGAATTCGTGTCTCAAATTACTATTTCACGTTTACAACAAACAACTTCTAAGAAATATATAGTGCCATTTTCCAAAATATATGTTTGTGCGATATTTCACACCACCGATGTAAACACGCAAAATCGTGATGGGTTTGGTTAAATATAAATTTGCTAAATTATTTATGTATTTATATTTGACGTTAATATCTGTTTAAGAAATCTTAATACGGATGGGATGTGGGTTAAATATAAAATATTTGTCCTCGCGACATAGTGTGAAAGATAAAGTAGGTATATTTATTTTAAATAACAGAAGCGATAAAAGTATTTCTTTGAATTGTTATGTATGTATATATATATATTATAAACGTTTCAGGTAGATGTCTCTCTTTAACACGAATACACGGATTTATATATATCAAACTGTACAATAAATATAGCAAATACATAAAGATAACACCATAGCCTTTATAATGAGAAAAAAAACACAAAACTTCCTTTGGTGAGCCATCTTGGCGTGTGCTGCAAAAACTGTAAGAGTTACACGAATATAATGTATGGTTGTAATGTATCCATATATATTTTATGTGTAGTAAATGACGCTAAAAAGTGAATCGAATAAACAAAATCAAAAAACAATTCATTCATTTCCAAAATACACATAATAATACAAACAATTAATACTTTTATCACTTCTGTTATTTAGAATAAATAAACTTTATCTTCCACACTATGTCGTGAGGACAAATATTTTAAGAATAAAGACGATACCAATCGAGGGCGCGGTTCTAGACCTAAAAAAGGGAAAATGGTTACGTGAAGTTCTAATCTTGCGCAGTTAGAAGCTAGTAGCTCATCATTATCCCTTCATTGTTACCCATAGTTTTACTTTTGACTCGAATCCAACTTCAGGAGCTGTAACAACGCTTTTCGATGTCGAAGTTTGTCAAAGATCAGACAAAAATACTTTTTTTCTATTAATGTTATCCGAACATCACACTTACTCCGCTGCGAGTTTAAACTTGTCTCTGCGCAGCTGAAAGCCAGGAATTGTCTGAAATTTTACAATTATTGTTATTAATTATCTACGTAAAATACAAATCAAATTTAGTGTGTTGATAATAACACGGGCTTAGTACTGAAGTTGATATAGAAATTGAAATTCCTTGGCGGTGTCCATGTGCGTAAAAAAGCCTATACATATGCTTTCACTCTTTATATACCACATTACCCACCAGATATTACACACGTCTATGGATTTTGACAGCAGCAACCTTTAAGAGCAGTGTTGGCTTGAGCGAGCGCCCCTCAAGCGTGATGTGCTTATATTCTTATCACTTGTTTGTACGGAGAAGAGAAACGTAGTGTGAAAATGCGATATGCCTAAGACCTATAAATCAGAGGATTCAGAATTATGAAGTCAAGACCTAGCACAACTGTATTTTTTTATTATCAGAGAGACTCCAAAATTAAAATTACATTTTTTATATTGGATCTCCAATTTATGAAGTATGCAAATACAGGGGATAAGGCTCCGAATATGATTTTGTCCCATTCGGTGTCGAGACTAGGAAGGCTATAAGGCTTTTTAAAGAAATAACGAAATGGTTAGTCGACATCACAGGAGACCGAAGAGCTGGCAGCCTCGGACAAAGATTCAGTCAAGCTATTCAATGGGGGAACGCTGCCAGTATCTGCGGAACCTTGCCTAAAGGCCTTGCCTTGCCTTTTAATAATATATTTTAATTATTGTTTTTTGTTATTAATATACCTACTTATAAAATATAGCAACTTTCTGACACTGTGGGACAGTATTTGGTTGTTTTCAAATTTACACAATACAAACAAAATCATTCCACTTCATAATATAAGTGTAGATTTAGAGATTAAACGTGAAGACTGCTTATATTGTTGGTGTCATTGCCATGTGAATTGTGTCGAGTGGGCGTTTAGCGATTCTATAACTCAATGAGACCAAAATAGCGACGAAATGATTCGCTCAGAAATCATGATGATGATATAAGGCTATGTGCAAGATTAGTTTTAAAGAGTTAATAATAGTACTAAAGAGCGAAAAATAATACCCAAGTTTATGGTTTTGCTTGTCGTGGCTGTATCCCCTTTATTTTCAATGTAAAATTTTCTTAAAAGCTATAAAGCCCTATCTGTGGACCTGTTTTATGATTCAAAATATGTTAGCTGCAAATAGATTTTTTCATTTCTATGACCGGTTTTGATTCTGGTTAAATTGTTTTAAGGATATGAACAAAAATGTCAGCGTCAAAAGCTCTCACATCGTGGGTAATAAATAATTTAAATTAGTTCTGATAAAGATCATTAACAAGGGTATCTAAAATCTTGTCTTTTTATACGGAGGAAAGAATTTTAAGATTCGATTATTGACATTCAATTTACGTTAAATAAATTTCTAATATTTCTATAATTATTATATAATATTATATCTTATCTTATGTAAATATAAATGAATCGCAAAATATGTTGCTAAGCGTAAAACTCGAAGACAATTCGGGTAGGTATTTTGAGTAATTTCTTATTTATTCATTCTCTTTTTTATGTATTCCTTATAATCTGACAAAGGTTTTTATGTAGCGACAAAATAGAAAAAAAAGGGAAAATTTAGTTTTACCGAACAATCTCTATGGGGTAGCATATCAAAATGTAGCTACTAAAAAGGTTGGCTATATAAAAAATCATATTTAGGGGAAACGAAATTCGCGGGGGCTGCTATGTAGCAGTATGTTATTATCAGTAGCATATAAGTTTTCGTACCACGTAATTTTATAGAGATTTACCAGCTGAGATTCTTACTAACCTACTTTCTTATTATTACTTTACAACCTTAACAACCTCCATAAATATTATTTGATGTTTTCACCCCGTTAATATCAAAGGAGAGAGAAAAGTTATGGATACATACCTCCTTAAAAATTATCAGATAAACAGGTTCAAATTATGGTGGTTTTTTAACTCTTCTTGGTTAATTTTTATATGAATATAGTAATTTTTTTATGTAACTATAATTAATGGTGATCGGAATGTGACCTAATGTTGCTGATTTGTTGCAGGAGGCGGAAGAATGGTCCCGGACACGCAGCGGCTCTAAAGTCAATCCGACGTTTGAGCCTGACTGCCTTCCTCAAAGGTAATAATAATAATAATCAGTCCAATGCACAGGATATAGGTCGGGAAAAGATATAAGAAACATTGTTATGCATTAAGCGAGAAAATAACTTCACTAGAGGTCAATAACTTTAATAAAACTCAAACTCAAAATATCTTTATTCAAGTGGGTAACCAAGTACACTTTTGAATCGTCAAGTTAAATTAATCGTAAATTTACATTTACTACCAGTTCGCAAGTCAAGGGCGTAGAGCGGGTAAGAAGAACTGGCAAGAAACTTTCCGCCACTCTTTTTAATCGCCAAGTATTGTCATACAAATTGTTTGAACTGGAGCAATTCAATCCCAAGGATTAGGATCATTTAAGTAGTCCTCAAATTTATAAAAATCTTTGTTGATTAATTTTCGTTTAACGAGGGCTTTGAATTTATTTAGTGATAATACTCTAATTTCGCTTGGGAGTTTGTTGTAAAAACGAATACAATTTCCATATAAGGAGTGGTTTATCTTTTGGAGCATAGAATATGTAACAAACAGTGCGACACCAAAAGTTCTCTTCAACAAGTCGAAAGGTTTTGTTTGTTAGGTTGGTTAAGTTTTATCTAACCCCCGCTTCAGTTTTATCTATAAATTGATGTCTAAACTTTAATCAGAATTAGTAAAAAAAGTCAATTTTCTTATAAAAACGCAAAATAAATTAAAACTCTGCAGGGGTTGAGCTTAGAGACCTCCCGTAGAACAATTTTTTGCGCAACTGATGACCTCATCTATCCCCTATTTGCGTTTGATCCACGACTTTTTGACCACCCTGTATATATTGTATAGAGTGACGCAAAGAAAGAAATTAAAACGGGAAATTGAAATGTTTTCGAAAAACAAATAGCTGTAAAAATTGAATTTGGTCTTGCAAACCAAAGAGGAGATATTTGAGGTCAAACTGGCCATTTCGACAAAACGTAAATTTCATATGTAAGGTCCAATATAAACGAGGACTTGTAAGTGCCAACCTCAAGAAACCAATAAAGATTTTATCTTAACATCGTATATGGCAAGCTTTGGACGTCATAACTTAAGTACTTATTGTATCATTATTTATGGGCTATACCTGTCCAAAATCCCTACTTTGCTTGAGTTCCTTTGAGGTCGTGATATCGCTAATACTTTCAACAAAGACTAAACAAATTCACTACATATGGTATTATATCCTAGATACGGTCTTAGTAAAAAAGTAATCTATAGTTCTTTAGTTAAATCAGTATAGGACATGATTCCAAAAGAAGTCACATTAAAATTTTACATATAAATGATTATGGATCTTTACTTAGGTAGGTGTCATTTGCCTCGTGTAACGAGTTTACAAAAGAAAAGATAAGCTGTTTCTTTTGAATTTTTAATTAGCACGTTTTGTATTCTGCTTGAGTGTGCTTAATAAGAATTTCCATTAACAATTGATTATTTTCAATTGTTCCATTTATAATGAATTTAAAAAAAAGATAACATTTCAAATAATTTAACAAAGGTTATCTTATACTCGGCAAGTACTAATTGGTACTTACACATCTGATACACATGTGTAGATTTTTCTTTTTAAATAAATTTACGATATTTATTAAATAATAACAATTGACCGTCTAAGAAAACAACGAAGTCTGGGGCAAGACTAGTTGTAGCGCCACTGGTCTAAGTATTCGTTCAAAATCACGTAGACTAAGCCCTGTGTTAGTAACACATATGCGTCGGGTTCTCTCTCCCTAAAATATGGCGAGGGGGCCGATGGCTGGCCATGCGTCATGCTCGTGGACCGGTGCTGCTTGTGGTGACTGGTCGTACTTGAATTCGTGTATGCGGTGATGTTGCTTATTTCGACTATGTGTTTGCGTGTTGTTATTATTATTAATTACTTGATATGTCATGTGGAACATGGTGTAATGGTTGCAGCTCCTTTTCAAACGTTGTGTAAAAAAAAATGGCGATTAAAAAGAGTGGCGGAGAGATTATTGCCAGTTCTTCTCTTCCGTTCTACGCCCTTGATTAGAGAACTGGCAGTAAATGTAAAATTAAGTAGAATCATTAATATGTATTTCTTTACTGACAAGTCATAGGTGTACATTATGTTACCTACATGATTAAATGATTTTTTTACTTTTACTTTGCTTTACATAAATTGCATACAATCTTAAACATCTATTATTTGTGAAGTAAATCATGTTAAAAGTTATTAAACATGTCTATTCTAACCTCTATCACACAGGTGAGACTTTATAGGAATTCAATTTGGAGTTGTTGATCTACATATATGAAATGCTTTCTTTGACTAAAAATGTGTATCTCAGTAAGTAGGCTTGTACGAATGTTTACAGCAAATCAATCCATTTAACTGCACAAGCCAAAATGCAAATTCAAGGTCTTTTCGCCGTACCGAGCGCGGTGTTTTACTAAATAAATCAATATGTTCCTTAGCGATACACCAACATGAACAAGTAAGTGCATAGGTGGTTTGACTTTAATAATTCAGTTATCAAAGTCGTGTTTGTGATTAAACAATTGTGATTTCTGGCTAACCTAAAAGTTTATTGACAAACCCCCGGTACGAGAACTTATGTTTCTTTTTATTAGGTTTTGTATAATGAGTTTATTTTGTAAGTATTACACATAACAGTTGGGGTACATACGTGCATTGTTATATTTTTAACTGAACTAACTTCAATATCGAAACCATTAGAATTTTTATTGTTGAGTAGACATAAGAGAAATATGTTTGAAGTTATGGTTACGTTCCTACGGTACAATGCATTAAGTTATTAAAAACAACCCTATGAATGTTAAGGGTTTAAAGCTATAACTGTTTCGTGGTCATGTTATCTCTTTTGAAAGCTTCAGAGCGGGTAAAGAATTCAATGTTATAGTTTATAAACCTTTATTACCACTGAATCTGTTATCAAAATGTTCATTCGATTTGAGATCTTGTCACCACTTTCGTATAGGGCCTATATAATTGGTGCCAACAAAAATGTTCAGTAAGGGGTATGGCGTTTCAAGCAAACGAGAAGAAGTAAAGACCGTGCTGTGCGGTGTGAAAGACCCTGATATATGTTGCATGTTAATCTCGCAGTCCCAGGAAAAAATCATGAATCTCTGTATTTAATAAAACCTTTTTTCTCGAATTAACAATTCAGTACATTGGATAATAATTAACAGACAAATTTATTGCAGCCTATCCCCGGTCAAAGATGAGAAGAAAGGCTCAGACAAGGGCATATTCCTTGTCAACTTGAATGAGATGAACCAAGAAGTTGAAGAATATGAGCCATACGACAACCGAGTTGTTGATCATCCCACCACGTAAGTATACAATAATATACTTGGCAATGTTATATAGTTAACTTTTTAGGTCTAGGCCTCAAATTTCTGAATCTGTTTCATGATCAGTTGTCAATCTAATAGACGAGTAGGTGATGAGCCTCCTATGCCTGACACAGCCCGTTGCTTTTTTGGGACTAAGACAATGTTTTCCTTCACCGTATAAAGAAAGTCCTTTAGTGTACAGCCGGGCATCAAACTACGACCTCAGGGATGAGAGTCGCACGCTCAAGCCACTAGGCCAATACTGCTCTACAGATTGATATGGCGGTCCAAATTAGTTTTTGCTAAGGATCGGAGGGATGAACAAAATCTATTACACAAGTGTTTGTATGTCTTAATGAACAGAATACAGTTTAAACATAACACCGCATTCAAAATTGTTTTAATCAACCATTTAAGAATCATTTCATAAAAACATACATTATTTCAAATTTAGGTCACGTTGACAAGGGTAAGATGGTCGATTAAAAAAATTAATGCTGCGTAGAAGTCAGGATGTGTGCTTTCCTCAATATGACAGTTATATGATAAAAGAGCCTCGAAGATCCTTCCTCTTCCTGGACTATCAAATACAAGGAAACTGCTTTTATATTCTCACAACATTTTATTACGTAGACGGCCTATGCAATGCGTATGTGCAACTTATAAATAACGTATTTCTATCATTTCCTGTTACAAATTTCAAATCTGGCCGACTTCATACAACTTCTACTCTTTGAATTTAAGATATTGATTGCAAAATTTGTTTACATGTGCTCTCCTTATTGAAGGAAACTAGCTCGTGCAAAAGGCACTTGTGATAGAACCAAAATTTACGACGATAAAATTGATCACCTCCCCAGTAGCCAATTGTATTTATCGGCTCAGTTGACTCTAAACCAGAAATCGGTTGTTGCGAAACTGGTTTGTCCTATAATCTATTGCAAACAATGTATTTGCTTCTCATAATTGCAGGAAAAGTTATATACAAACAAAACTAAACCAAAAATTGCATATTTATTATCTCCTTCGTAAAGAATAATACAGCTACCTTAATGCTTGGAGAAACGCGGGTTCTTACTTCAATGTGATATGTAAACATAGAAAATAGGTGGAGATTATTTGGTTGTCTTTCGTGAAACAAATGTTTTTCATCCCGTTTATTTTATTATGGCACTAACAGCACAATGCAAATTCCTGAAGGTCCATGTTCCACGCTGGCCAAGCGGGTTGCGGATGCCAAATATGTTTATCGTAATGTCGCAATTAAAATCTGCCTGTGACTTAATTTGGGCATAATTACGATGATAAGAGCGTTGCAAATGTTTTTTTCATCTAAATTATAAAATGAGGAAAATTTAAAATATTTAGATTTTTTACCTACGTAACTTGATATTTTTTCCTCTTTGTATACGTACATAAATCACACACGGTTTAAAGTGTTCTATTTTAAATTCCCGACATGCCCTTACTGGGAAATTTTTGCAGAACATTGTTTTAAAAACATAGTATCATAAAACGTTAATATATGTGATTCATATGCGTATCAGGTTCTACCTATATACGGATGATTGCTCTATATAAAGTGATACCCGTAGAAGCCAAAGAGAAAAATAGATTTTTGGATCACATTATACACTTGTTTAAATTATCTTTTCATAAAGTGTTACAAGATGTATTATATTGTTTAAATTGCATTTTTCATTTACATTATTGAAGAGACCAAACATCTATTTACCTTTGTTAATATTTTGTTGATTAGTAGTAAATTATATTAACAAAATAACACGGTTTAATCTCTAGCGCTTAAAAGTAAATTGTAATCTTTAAATAAAAAAAATTAAAACTTCAATAAACGAACAATATTTTTTAAATAATCATTATTTTACTTAATACTGTGAGAATCATATATCAGAGAACTTTTTTAAATTAATTACGATATGAATAGAGGTACAACATAACCTGTAGGAAATTGGTTGAATCAATATTTCGGTATACATTTTTTTTTTAAATATGTGTGAACCAGGAATTGCACTGAACAACAAAGTTAACACAAAATTCCATCAAACGAGGGCTGATAAATGAAAAATATTTTTAGATCTCGGTAATATTTAAGCGATCTTGCGCATTCTTTTTCAATTGACGCGTGACGACTTAAAATATTTTGTTCGTTAACGTTGTGCGTCAAGAAATGTTACCCAATTATCTCATAAATGCAACCTTTACTTCACAATTTAATAGCAATACAAAATAGTACAGGAAATCACGCCAATTAATTGGTACGGATTGTGTCAGTTTATGAAATTGTTTCTATAAATCAATCAATCGCGTATCGAATTTGATTCAATATAATACTACATACATATGCATTTAGGTTACGCTTGAGAATATTTTTAGATAGACTTTTCTATGGAAAATAACACTCGCAAAAAATAACACTCGAACATCGTGAAGAAAGCGGCATGCCTTAGAACCGTAGAAAAGTTCGACATGTGTCAGTCACAGAAGGCTGTTACATACCTGTAAGAAAAATAAATGATCACCTTAAAGGCTGTAGCGCCACTGTTTCCTTTCATGAAATCATTTTTAATTAATTGTATTTTACAGTAAATAGATTAATATGTAAAGTAATTTGTCAACCACATTTAGCAGCAGCAAGGCAACTATGTTATAACAGAACTAAAAATACTTTTATGAAGATTTTTTTAAATATATAAGTTACAATATGTAGCGGTTGATTATATTTAACCCGTTGGGTGTAGGGTGTCCCATCTATGAAAAATATATTGTATTTGTGTTGGACGGAAAATTGTGGAAGTCTCGTCTTGTCCCTATTTATTAGACACGGATCAAATGGGAGGCAAATCTAATTATATTTTTGTGCTTATTTAAAATATAAATAAAACGCAAAACTTGAAGTCGGCTGGATAATTTAATTGACACTTATGTCAGTGAAATATTTTTTCAAATCAGTTTGGGGCTAAGAAATAATTGCTTAATTTTGTTTCAGGAACATAGAAACCTTATTGCACTTGCTCAAAGGCAGTTTGGGTACTGGTATTTTAGCGATGCCTCACGCGTTTTCCAATGCCGGATACGTCGTGGGCTCAATCGGTACCATTGTAATTGGTGTTCTATGTTCATACTGCATACACGTCCTCTTGGACTCCTGTTATGTGATGTGCAAGCGGCGGAAAGTGCCTTCGATGACGTACACTGCTGTAGCTGAAGCCGCACTTTCTGAGGGACCAGACTGGTGCAAAGCTTGCGCGCCGTATGCTGCGTAAGTTACCGAACTTATAAGAATTCTTCGCTATTTCAATAACATTTTTAATACAGTACAGTCAAAACAAGATAGGGTGCGAGCGACGTTTTTAAGATAAATAAACATTTTATTATACGAAAATAAAAATATAGTACACTTATCTGTTGTTATATCATGAAGAATTCAATTCTTTATTTATCAAACAAGTAACCAAGTAAGGGATAAAATAATGTCGAAGAATTTCATAAAATTTGGAAAGTTCCTTGACATTTTACAAAGCACTTTTGAGTCATCAATATACAATATATAATAATACACAAGTGGATATAGCTTACAGTTACTGTTTTGAAAGTAAAAAATGTATATTTACAATGACCTAGGCATTTATATTATTTTCCTGTGTGTGTATGACATTATTTAAAATTATTACACGTCACATTTTTAAAGAATGATTTGGCAAATACGTTCAATTCTAACCACAATATTATTAATAATTCATTTTTGTAATAGAGGGATATACCCAAGATATAATAATTTCTACGTCGCAGGAAAATCATTTGAAATAATTAAACACCTTAAGTATAAGGAACTTTTTTATACTTATCTGGAATCGTAATATATCTCGATCCGCGTTCATATGTGGCATATGCGTGGAGTCCTTAACTAATCAGGCCCTGAATTTGTACCGAAGATGCACCATTCTCTAGACGAACAATTCTACCGTGTAGACAATTTAAGAACTAAGTACTAGAAGAATTCAAAAAGACCATTGTTTATTCTTTTACAGTCACGTGGTGAACGTGTTCCTGCTCATCTATCAGATTGGAACCTGTTGTGTCTACGTGGTATTCGTCTCGGAGAACATTCAGTATGTGTTGACACAGTACTTTGAATTAAACGTTACTGTCGTAGAGGTGATGCTGTGGATCCTCCTTCCTTTGGTTCTCATCAACTGGGTTCGGGATCTTAAGTACTTGGCACCATTCTCTGGGTTCGCGAACGTGGTCACCATCGTCGGCTTCGCAATTATCCTCTACTACCTATTCAGGGAAGCTCCAACATTGGAAGGGAAGGCTCCTGCGGGAAAACTCGCAAATTTCCCGCTTTTCTTTGGAACTGTTCTCTTCGCTTTAGAGGCTATTGGTGTGGTGAGTTAATGATTTTAAAAACATTCAGTTCAATATTAAATAAACGCCTTTTAACTGAATGTTCATCTCCTTTTTTACTGCTTCTTTTGTTTAATGTATTAAAATTTTAGAAAATAAACTCGAATTTAATTACGTCGCGCAAACCATAGACAATTTGTGTATATACTTTTAAAATAAATTTAGATAAAGTTAAACACATTCTATGTACGTATGTTAATGTGTATGACATTGTGTTATGTGTTTATGTACTTTCAATGTCATGTTTATCAAGTGTCTCTTTATATGACAAAATACTACTTAAATAACGCAATTTATGATGTGATTACCTTGCCTTGCCCTGTGATGTTATTTGCCTCAAAACATTGATTGTGTTTCACATAAGAATGGTATTTTCACAGATTCTTCCACTGGAAAATGAAATGAAGACTCCGAAAGACTTCGTGGGTTCCTTCGGAGTGTTGAACCGGGCGATGATAACCATTATCGTCTTGTACGTGGGGATGGGACTTTTCGGTTACCTAAAGTATGGAGATGCCGCAGCTGGCAGTATCACACTTAACTTACCCTCCGATACTGAATTGTAAGTAAATATCTGTAATAAATGATTTATTTTTACCAGCTTAATGAGAAACACAAAAGAAATTAGCCCATATAAGTACTTCTGAATATCAGAGACAAATCACATCGTTAGTAAAACCCTCAAAGGCATAATTCAAAAAAGAAGAATTTTGTGAAATCTCATTTAAATATTTTGATTTGTTGCTTGTTTTTTGAATAAAATACTTTTTATTAAAATCATGGTTATGAAACTTTACATATTTGTTCTTTGATAATGTCACAATAGGAAACTTTGAAAGTTAATTTCAATTTTATTAAATTCTATAAATTACGATGGATAAAAACAATTAATTTAAGTTGGGGGTTGTACAGTTAAAAAAATTATGTAATATACAGAATCAGTCAGGAATGATTCCTTGTAACGACTGCAGTTTTTGATAATATAGGAATCAATTATATATAAGACCTACAAATCAGCTACATTTTATATAAAATATCGAATCGAATTGTTCTGTAGAAATCTAAACGGTTGTAATAAAACTTCTTTATTTGTCATAGAAGGGTACAAACACGAATAGCGCAATGTTTGAATAGTCTAAGATCTTTCAATATGGACACTTTACTAATTACTTGTAGCAGTACGATCAGGGGAAGCGCGTCAGAAGTGTGATAGACAAATATATTTACCGAGTTATTATAGTCATTTTTATTTCTCTATCAGCGCTAACCGCTAGAGAATTTCATTTTGTGCCCTTAACAATTAAAATATTGTATTACGAAGAGAGCGGGAGAAATATATTACAAAATGGCTTTCCCTGTGGAATATACATTAATTTGCACACTACGCTTATTATAGCTATACGTATATAATCATTTATTTTCAGACTCGCGAGTGTAGTTCAAGGACTTCTGGCTTTCGCAATCTTCATTACCCACGGTCTTGCCTGTTACGTGGCTATTGATATCGTGTGGAACGAGTACATTGGTACCAGGCTACACAACAGCTCCCATCGTATTATCTGGGAGTACGTCGTCCGGACCTCCATTGTTCTTATTACATGTAAGTGTGATTATTGATTCGTCGTGTCCTCTATTCTAGATATAGCATCTCACATCGTAGGATAATCCCAGCTGTTAACTGATATGGAGAACAGATTGATCATCCAGAAAACAAAACACGACGCGCTTAATCTGACATTTTTTCTCAAATAAACATAATATGATATATGAGATACTGAGGGCATTTTGGTTTCTATGTAAAAATATCCAATAGTAGTTATAAAAATTATATCTCATGACTCACTAAGCCATGTTTTCCTTCTAGTTGGTATAGCGGCAGCTGTCCCAGAATTGGATCTGTTCATATCCCTCTTCGGAGCGCTATGCCTGTCTGCTCTGGGCCTTGCCTTCCCCGCCATCATTCAAAGCTGCACTTATTGGTACTACGTTTCGGACTCGGAAAGAATTCGCATGATGGTCAAGAACGTCATCGTTGTACTGTTTGGCGCCTTGGGACTTGTAGTAGGCACTTGGACTTCCTTGGATGGTATAATTAGAAAGTTCTCCGCCCACCACGTGTTAAATGCCACCGCAGCAATAACTGAAGCTACTATACTCAATGACACGTTAGGTGTTATGCCATAGATTTTGAGTGTACCATCAGTATGAACCATCCGTGGCATCCAAGTGCAATGCGTTCGTACTCCTACGTACCCTAGCGTATTGAACAATGTTCTTAGACAATATTTTAGGCTCTTATATTTTTGTTGTAAGATTTTTAACGGTTTCTCATTATATTTTATTGTTTGGTCATTATGATCAGATAACTATTGTTGAACAAATATTAATAAAGTATTATTTCTGCATATATGAATTCGCTATAAATGAATATTTTTATATACGAGTGTTATGTAACATATGATAAAGTTTATTTTAAAGTGAACAGTATTCATTTGTTACTTGTTTTTTAAGAGTAAATTTTTGTATATATATAAACCTTAATTAGATGCTCCTTACTTCTAAAGTCGAAATATAATGATAACCACAATAAGTACAGCTTATTTTTTACTAGTGATTTAAGGTAAAACCGCACTATAGCGACACTGCAGCAGAGGGGCGCGGCACAGCGCGATATTTAGCTACTTGAAGAATATTTTGCCGCGCCTCTCTACCGCTACTGCGACAGAGTGACTTGCTGGACAGTCAATTTACATGAATACCTAACGATACGTCAGGATGGACGAAGAAACATCAATTTCTTTTGACAGTAAATATCACGAATTAAAATCTTTAAAAATGAAAAATATATGAATGAAGTTAGAAAAAGCCTAATTTCGCATTCTTTATAACTGAATTTGGAATATCATGCACCCAAGTAGACAGATTTTAATTTTATTCCAGTTTTCTGTCTTAGATTCTGATTAGCTCTTCACTTATTATTTAGTCAGACGCTGACGCGCTGCGCCTCTTTGCTGCAGTATCCCTATAGTGCGGGTGCACCTTTAATTCGTCATTCGAACTACTATAATTTAATCAATATTCAAGTAAAAAATGTGAAATGTATAAGTATTGTGTACTTATTTGCACTGTTTTATTTATCATTCACGCAAGTATACTGTAAGAAACTTAGTACAATATTTAATGATAAAAATGCACTTTACCAACTTAGTTTTAAGGATCCGACTTAGCTACGATGTTCCATACTTATAATATAAATAAATTTATATTATAAACTAAGTCTAATATTTAGAATATAACTATTAAAGCCTTAATAAAAGGGCGTTTTGGCAGACAGTATGGTCGCAACGATATTAGAATCAGATATTTCAAATGTTTATATTTGGATAGAAATATATTAAGTTTAAGTTATAGGTTGTCTTAATGACAAGACAGCTATTTTGCAGCCGACGCAAGGTCACTAAACAACCACTTGGAAGTAAAGATAACGATGAGACAATTAAAATCACCAAATTATATAGAATAATATTTATAGTATTATAAAATTATTCTATATAATACTTTGTTGTACTTTACCTAGCAACTAAGATTAAAAAAAGTACAACATAGGTTGTTTAGTTTTAAGCATTATTTTATCCTATGCAAGTGAGATTTGTGGTGTGGCATTTTGTTTAGTATAAGTCTACTTGCGACTAGCAGGTTACGGATTAAAATTCGTTATATTTTTTGGTTACATATATTAGGTACCTTACCAAAATTGTTACCGTCTCATGGCCGGATACCAGTGTTTAATGTATAATTATATGGTTTCTAGAATAACCTCATTTCCCACTTTCTTTGTTTTTCGCCTCCGACAAGGTCGTTTAGTTGGCATTACCAATTGTTATATATATACATAATATCTATGTATATGAATCTTCAATCTCGTAAAAACAAAACACAAAAAATGGCTTTCGAAGGGTTTACTATAAATTTTGCTTATACCAGCCAAGTTCCGGGCAATCAAATCACCGTTTTGCTTAAGCTCCTTGAACCAGTTGAATTTTAACTTTTAATTAGTTCATGATACGAAATAACAGGACAATTCAATGCCTACCAAGCTCAGTCAGCAAAGAATTTGTTTAAGATCGTTATGGAATCATCGGTTTTTACAAAAGAAGTATCGACAGTTATGTTGATACTGACCAAATGTTATGATTTTTGCCATTTTGCCTGTTAGGATATAAGATTGATTGCATTTCTAATGTAGTCTAGCGATATTTGCTTGCTAAGTAGAATTCAATACATTTATTTTATCCGGTCATGTCGGATATATCTGTGATGATGATAATTATATGAGTAGGATATATACGTTGTAGTTATGATGTGTTTTACACGTCGGTGATTATGTGCTCAGAAGATATGATAAAGAATAAAAGTTACTGAAAACAAACGTTGCATTATTTCATCCTCGGCTTTCTACATTTCGTTAAAACATTCCTTGACGCTGACACAATAATTTAATCATTTATAAAAAATATTTCACCAAATAGAACCCAGGGACCTCGGTGAGGTACCACCAACAATACACAATAAATAATATGATTTGCGCATCTAAAGTGCTTGTAGCATCTTCGGTGCAGTTTAGAATCCGGGGATTTCGAAATATAAAGTTTTCTTTATAAATATTATATAAGAAAATTATCACACTTAAATCTTATAGTAATTCATATTCATTCATATACTCTCAATATTATTGCTAGTGAGACAGATTTATTTATTTGCACCGACCCAATTTAAATGAATAGCATTACTGATAATTTGTTATAAAAAGGTTTTATGTTTTATTTATTTTAGTTAAATTTTTGGCTTAATAACTTTTCTATTGCATTTCTATTAAGTTACTGTTGAAATAGAAAATAAGGGAGTATAAATATTTACGTGGGTTACATAAATAAAAACAGCACTTTAAGTATCAAATTAAATATAATAATTGTGAACACATAATCTAAACAAAATCATACATAATTATCATCAAGTACGGAATGAATATCACAATAAATCATTTAATCAATCAATCTTTTTTAACGTTTTAATCAAATACAAAGATACATCGATTTAAACATTTAACCGAAAACCAATTACGCCTGGCAAAAGATTAATTAACAAAAACATTTCGAACAAAACAAACATACAATAATTAAATATCTTTGAACTAGAAAAATAATATTTCATAGTATTTTGTGCTTTCCCAATCAACTATTAAATTGAATAAACGATGAATGGCAATTAAAATGTTTGTGCTTTTGTATGGGTTGACATAACATTTGTTACTGAGGCAATGACGTAATTTCTATAAAGAATGGTAGTTATGGCAACCAAAGCCATTTATTTTAGTCTTGGTATATCCATTTTTATCGGAAAGGGTCCAAAATGGTAACATTTTACAGCTTTTATAATTCTATGTCAACTCACATTGAAGAATCGTCAAAGTTATCAATAAAAATTAATAATACAGCTAAACAAAGTCTGTGCTTAAAGCTCTACTTAAAATATAGCACAGATCGTAGAGGTAGTTCATACGCCTTCACTTAATGCTTAATACTTATAATACCAAAAAATTATAACACAAAAAAATTATAATACCAAAAAATTATAACAAAATCATCGTAATAAAAAACACACAGTGAAACCTCTATACAATTCTAATACTTCATAAAATAAATCAAAAATATTGTATTATCCAGAAATAAATAATTATTCAAATTACCAAACATTGCAGTGTCACGAACATAGATGGAATAACGAATGACATAAACAACAAACATTACAGATATACAGAAACGCACACATACCGCTAAGCAGATATTAAATTAAATGTCAAATTTGTATTAAAAAATAATAAATAATATTCAAAATGTCAAATATGAAATAGAGACTTCACTGCAAGAAAAAAATCAACTATTTCTTACCGGCATCATAGCCGGCAAGAATGGTCCGCAGTGCAGTTTTAAGATTTTCGTTTGGAGTTAGTTCCATTTTGGACAAGTTGTGTCTACAGCATGGACACTGCTGACAATCCGTTGATTTAAAAGCCAGCTTTAAACAAGCCTAAAATAGTAAAACAATATATATTTTATTTGCCTAATTCCGAGACGAAATTTTTATATCAAAAATTAGTTAAAACATATGTAAAAAAAATGGTGTCCTAATAAAGTGCTGAACAAAAAGAGGTTATCATTGACCTGTATGTGATATGACGAGAAGCTATTTAAGGTTTCAATCCTATGGTCAATAGTAAGTGTATGTATGTCTATAATTTTTAAAGATACATTCCAACTTAGAAAACAGTAAGTTTTATAAAAAAATAGTAGTTTTTGAGCTATCGGGTATATACCGCCAATGTTTTCGATCCTTTCTTTTATTATATAATGCAGATATTAACTTACCATACAAAAGTTGTGTAGACATGGAGTGGTAACAGGTGAAACAGTGACGTCTTGACAAATGATGCACAAAAACACTTGAGTTACGTGTTCTATAAACTCCTGTAAAAGATTTTTTTTTATTTTCTGGGGTCAACCACCTTCCCTATAACCCGGCTTCGTTATTAAAAATAATATAATCAAAGATAAATTTAATTTCTTAATATATTTTGCTTATGAACGTCAGTAAGAAACTCTAAAGGTCCGCCAGTTCTTAAATCAAGGTCATACAACAGACGAGAACTGGGCCTATTTTTACAACGAAACCATTTAATCTTGCTCATTTTAAAGCGGTTATTTATTTATTTACACTTCGTTAACTTAAACATTGATATAAAAAAACAGGTTACATAAGGTATAAGGCAACGGACGGCCTAATCGCTAACAAGCGATTTCTAACCGGCTAGTATGGAAAAATAAAAATTAAACACCTACTGAGGGTTAATTACAAGAAGTGCCTAATTAAATTAAATTCAAATATAAAATTACATGTAACACTAGAAATATACTAATTAAACAAACTAAACTAAAATCTAATAAAAATTATATTAATGAAAAGGTTAATGCCAACCTCCCTAAGATTAAATATTTTATTAATTTTTTTTTTATTAATTACTCATATATAAGTAACTAATTAAAAGGTAGAAGAGAAATTCACATAAAGAAGCTTCTTAAAGTTGACCTTGTCTGATATCAAGAGGTAAGGAGTTCCAAAGCACAGTAAAGGAAGAGTGATATAATTCAGTTTTATAAGTAGGAGTCAAAAATGTAATCAAGTTATTAATAAAAAAAACCGAATGTTTCACCTTTATCAGCAAGGCACTGTGAAATAGGCGATTTTTAATCAGATTCTCAAAATGTAATTAATAGTTGTTACACAACCGTTGCGACATACTATAATATTTTAGTTATATATTATAGTAGTAGTATATTAAATATAATATTATATATTATAGTATAGTAGTTGTATATTAAATATAATATTAAATATTGTAGTTATATAACATCGGCTATATATAAGTTATGAAGTCTCCAATAATACCGATCTCCCTCTATAAAAATATAGTAATAAAATAATGATTGCAATTAAATAAATTGTCTTTTGTATCAGTTAAAAATCACCTAAAATTGGAGTAAATAAAACCCTACCTTCTTTCCATGTTCTTTGTATATGTCAACACATTCGTTCCACAATTTGGTATTCAAAGAATCAGATTTAATGACAGCCAATTCTTCAGAAGTTAGTCCGGTTGCATTTTCCTTGGATTTCGGACTTCTTGCAGCTTTTTTGAATATGTCTGGTATTTTTGGGCTCGACGGCACTGAAAAAACAAATTTCCAGTATTAAAATGCTATAATATTGTCTTTAAAATATTCTTAATTAATTAATGAAAAGGCATTTTGGCCTTTCGGGTTACCACCAGGCAGCCTTGTTGGAAGGCCCTGTATAATTAAATAATGTAGCATGGGACATTTCTGTTTGTTTACAGGTTCAAAGTGGTCTGAACAAAAAAAAACTAGAAAATACCGGTTCTCTGATAGGAAGGCAAATTGTAGGATTGTAATAGTTCTTTCGTTGTATTCTACTTGAAAATAACGGAATGATTATCGGAGACGATTGTTCAAACAGCGCCAACTTTCAAACTTTTTAAAAACATTTTTTTCCCCGGGACTCAAAGCTTCGTGATCTCATGACTTACAGTCAAACCTAACTACTCGACCAATTAGTAGTTTTGTAAGATGTATTATTTTAAAACTTTGGGTTGTATGACTTCTATGCTGACCGACTCTAAAACAATTGTTTTCTTGAAAGTATCTGTTCTCTGATATCCGTTCGTTCCCCGGTAAACGAATCCGAGACTTATTAACCTACAGTCGAACCAATGAAGCAATAGAATATATATTTTATGATAACTATGTGTAACTTACCTGAAGCACTTTTGTCGCCTTCTTTTGACTCCGAGTCGGAGGTCCTGACTTTTTTCGTTTTCCTTTCCTCTTCTTTAAGACAATTATTTTCTTTTAATGTTCTTTTTGTTGTAACATTTTCTTTTACTTTACGTTTTTTAGTCGGACGAGAAGAGTCAGAATCTGAAGAGTCATTTTCTTTGGTTCTTTTCTTAGGTTTACCCTTTTTGGATTTTTCCTTAAGTGCCTTTTTCTCGGCTTCTGCTTCAAGATAACCATCTGGATACTGTAAAAATAGGAAAATTAAAGCCAAGTTAAAATTTCTGTTAACATCGTTTCCTATTTCACCATGCTGATAGAAGACAAATCTTTGTTTTTAATTTATTTTATTATTATTTATTAAATATGAATATTAATTACTTATGATGTCATGTGGAACATGGTGTTATAATTGCAATGGCTTTCAAACATTGTGCAAAACAAATAACTTGACGATTAAAAAGAGTGACGGAGAGTTTATTGCCAGGTCTTCTTTTCCGTTCTACGTCCTTGATTAGAGAACTGGCAGTAAATGTAAAATTAGAAGCATTTTTATGTATTTTTTTTGACGTTCATAAGTTTATGTTACCTAAATGAATAAATTATTTTGATTTGATTTAATTTGATACATAAGTATACCAATATGAATAATGATTGGATATGAAAATCACTACCCGATTTATATAACGTGTTTCCTTAATTCGTCACTTTTAATTATATGTCATATTCAGCACAGCTATTCAAGGTGTACACGTGATACGAAATGTATTTAAACTCAAATTAACTTAATTCCGAATATAGTAAAATGCATTTATTGAAGTTAAAGTGGTTTTTTAAATCTTCTCTCCTTCACATTAGCGTAATAAATTAGTGAGTAAAATAATTATATTATGTGATTAGTATATAGTGATCAGCAAGATAGTTTAAAATAAGTTGTGACATATCTGATGTAAATAAATACATACTGATAATGCCAGTTGGCTCGCGACTGCGAGGTACACTTTTTTGAAGGTCCCTAACTTTGTTATACTTACGATAATAGGATATTGATTTGCGCCAGCTTCCCAAGGGGCGGGATTAGGGTCGTCTCTACGAAGTAAATATTTCCACACCTGATACCCTGAAAGTCCTTTTTCCGGGTAATATTTGACCACCTTGTATATTCCGTCATAACTGAAATATTGTATTCACTTCGTATTCATATTTATTTTATTTAAAAACTACGGCGCTACAACCCTTTGACAGAAAAAGATGGGCTTTTGAAGAAAAATATGGTTTTGACATGGAAATTATTACCTATTCATCTACTGATTTCTTACAACCTTTATGGTTATAGTATCTTTACTTCTGTTACAACTTTAAAATCGACCAGCACCGACTATTAACATTTACACAACACAAAAAAGACTAATATAGCTATAATTAACCAAATAGCACCCAAATCTATAATTATTGTCAATCATAAAACACGCCAAACATCTCTTAAAGGCGCCAAGTGTAGGCTCTTGTAATTTTAGACTTTTATATCCAGTACACAACAAAGTTTTACCGTATGCCTTCCTTTGGCGCATATTTGGGAAAATGTTTCATCATCTTGTAAGACCTGACAACACGGACAGGCTTGCCTTGCTTCCAGTCATCACCCGCGTCACCACCACTCTCGCTTATCACTTTCACTGCACAGTTACGTGCTAGCGCCCTATACAAATTAATATATAAAAAACTACGGTGTTATTCATTATGTAATGGTCTATTCAGAAATAAATGTTAATTTCCAATTTAAGTTCAGAGTTAAACGCGATCAAATAAACAATATTTAAAAATGAAATATTATAAAACAGGTAGAAAATCAACATTATTTTGTGTATAAAGAAAAAATATAATAATTTTATAAGTGTAAGATTGGGTTAGACTCAACAGCTTTTATAAAGGGCAAAACTCATAAATTTTGTCAAATCAGATATTCAGATATCAACAATCAAAAGCTGAAATATATATTTTATTTTATTAAATGTACTTTAATTAAATAAAACTTACTTATTCTCTCTGGTAAGTGTTTGATCACAGGATTGTTCTGCAGTGCGCTTATTGCCTGACAAATCTCTACCACCGCTGCCAGTGTATGTGAATTCATAGCCGTTGTCATAATCATCCTCATATCCACCTAAGATTTTTACATAAATTATTATGATGAGCCCAGTGATTTTTTAGTCTTGAGAAATATATATCAACTAGCAGACCCAACAGATGTTGTCCTGTATGATATTTCAAGCGATTAGGTTATTAAAGAAAGTATGAAGATACCAACTGCAGTGTCATCTGCCAGGTTGATTCATCCAAAGGTATACAAAAATAACATTCAAATCGGTCCAGCCGTTTAAGAGGAGTTCAGTGACATACACACGTACAGTAGAATTATTATATATATGTAAGCTATACTATCTTTTAAGTTAGATCAAACTGCACACTATGTGAAAATTTGAGCGAAATCTGTTAAGTAGTTTAGGAGTCCATAGCGGACATACAACGAGAAGCGTAATTTATATATATTAAGATATAATTGAGTTTAATATTTTGTTGTCTCGAACTGATTACATGTAACCGAATAATTAATAAAATTTTGGATAAAACAATTAAAATAATTCTATAAACTTTTTATTGAAACGTTTAAATATTAGATCCTTTTTAATAGGCTGTATAATGTGTGCCAAATATTTTTTGTGGATTAGATTAAGTAACCGGTCCAAATTTGACAACCAAATTAAATTTCATCTAAGATGCAATTGTTTGTTAATATTACACAAAAGTGTGCTATTTCACAAAGCCGAACTTCTATTATAAAGATATTTTCTTTTGACCAGACATACTCAATATGACAATATGATAATATAATAGTAACTGCCCCCGCAAACTTCTTTTCATCTTAATATAATATTTTACTTAGCCAACCTATTTATTAGCTACATAAACAAAAATAATTTAGCTTTTCTAATCCGTTTTATTCTTATTGCCCTTTTCGTTTCCCTTAGGCTGTGAGCGACCTGTTTCAATATTTTTTAAATATTAATATTTGGATTCTATGTAAATAAATATACTCTGCTTCTTGACAATGTCTATGCGTACATTTAGCATGACAATGAGTAAGAACTATAAAAAAAGAAAATATTACCTCCAAGGACAATACTGTAAGCGCCTTCAACATCTCGACCATGGATACCGGACACTGGTGGTCGATGTACCCCAGACTCTGAAAGCTAAAAGGACAAGTGTTTAAGCAACTTCAAAAAAAGGAGGTTATCAGTATGGCATGTATGTATAGTTGGAATATGATGATATTTGTCTTTGTGTATACTATTATTCTAAAATGTTGTCTACAAATTTCCCAAAACTAAATTTCATATCTAGATCATTCTTGTTCTATATCGCTACAATTCAACGTATCGAACAGTCTCAATATCATTAAAATCGGGCAATTCTATTGTAATAACTTGTTAATTCACTTGACAGGTCTTTGGAATCGGATATTTGTTAGTTTTAATTATTTCGGTTTTAAGTTCTAAAAACATCTACATTTTGTATTTATTTTCAATTGCACATCTTTAATTTATTATGCAAACAAAAGCATTATTAAAACATTTTATAATTAGTTTTCATTTTTCCACACTTTATTGCACAATATTCAAAGGATAAACAAAATATAAAAACAGCCTAAGCGATCTCTTCCTGGAAGACCTAATAGAAATTTAAATGTAAGAGTAATGGCAGAAATCGGGCACTTATGGTAAAGGTTCGAAGGTCTCCCCCTCTCATACAGCGATTATAGTAAATTCGCTTTATTAGTTTAAGATCTAGATTTATTAGTAGAAGTAACTTTTAGGTATAAAGAGTCACTAGGTGGTCACGAAACGTTTTACTATACTTGGGTACAGAAAAACGTTATGGCGCGTTACATGGGGGGGCGTCAATAATCTCCAAAAATTGCGTGACGTAATACTTGAACGCTCCCTAAACAGACTGTTAATATTTTTAAAAATCATACATAAATAATAGAAACCTATGTTTGACATCCTTGTCAACCTTGTCCTTCCGGATGTCAACTTGGGTAAGCTGTCACCCGGCTAAGTTTTATCTTACATTACTCAAATAAAAATCATATAAATCGTTAACCAACTGTATAGTGCCTTTTACTCTCACAATATTAATATGTATATCGTGAACAAACCTGAATCCTAAATCTCCAACACATTCCGACTTCAATACCAGGAATCGGACCAAAGTGATTAGCAGGCATAGCACAGGTTCTTGTTTTGCCTGAAAAATATTTAATTATGTATGAAATACATAACATAAGAAATAATATATTCATATGTATATATTTTTAAATTCGCTGTTGTCATTATTTCAATCAGCAGCAGTCGCAAGCGAGCTATAGTTAAAAAATTATAAACACATAGTATGTAAAGCCGTATAAAATATCGACACAATTAAAACTATACCAAGCCAAGATTTGGCATCGCCAGCGAAATAGTAAATTACAATTTTACAACGACCTCCGTAGTAAAATTGTAATTATTATTATTAACTATTGTGAACATCCCTTTTCATATACTACAGTTTACAATGTATATCTCAGAGAAAGCTGAACTGAATTATGAAGAAAACGTAGATAATGTGTCTGCCCCATATCCCTAACAATATATTTTTAAATAGCAAAGGCCACGCAAAGCAAGAAATAGAAATATATATTTATGCTATTTATAGTATAAAATAAATAAATCAGTGGCGCTACAACCTCTTTAGGTCTTGCCTTCAGATTTCTGAATCTGTTTCATGATAATCTTAATAGGCTAGTAGGTGATCAGCCTCCAGTGCCTGACACACGCCGTCGACGTTTTGGGTCTAAGACAGGTCGGTTTCCTCACGATTTCCTTCACTGTTCGAGCGAATGTTAAATGCGCACATAGAAAGAAAGTCCATTGGTGCAAAGCCGGGGATCGAACCTACGACCTCAGGCATGAGAGTCGCTTGCTGAAGCCACTAGGCCAACACTGCTCGACTATTTATAGTATACACTTGAGAAATAGAAATGCAGTCGCAATTGTACTACTATAACCATATAACTTCAATTCAGGAAGTACCATGCTAAACCTGACTGGAATAATAAAATAAAATAAATAAATATTATTAATATAAAACTGGATATATGTTTTGAATAACAACTCCGCTTCCAATTACGGCATATAACAAATGCATGATTCTTTTTTTTATTTGAATATATATATATTTAAAAATACTTGTCCTCACCAATTCTATAGAAAACAATGGAGTGGTCTGGAGGCCTTTACTCGTGAAGATGTCCTTACAACTCTTTAGTTGTTTTTGACTTTACTATAAGGATTAATTTCTTTTATTTAATTTAAATATAATAATAAATATTGAGAATTAAGAATAAATAAGATTTTTATTTTACTTTATTTATTTATTAGACATATACATCGCACAGCGTACACTAAAATAGTTTATACATTATACGCAAATATTAACGTTAAGGAATTTTTGGAATTCGCCTTTATCGGAGTAAATCCTGTACGCGAGCAAAGCCGCTGCAACAGCTGATGTTGGATAGGTATAAATAATAAAGACGAGACCTGCATCAGTAATCTGTAACTTCGTGCAAGTTCGTTGTAAGTCTCTCAGTTATTTTAAGTTTATTATTACAAAACCAGCTTTTCATTTCGATTTTATTAAGAATTGGCTAATTTGAAAAATCCCAAAATTATTTCTTTCTTTATACAGTGCATTGATGGTTGGAATTAGAGCTTGTGTCTTTTATTATTATTTAACAGGGGACAAGCGGCTCGCGAGTGCGTTGCCGAGACTTTAAGGACTCTTAACCTATGCTTTACCTCTGAAACACAAGGTCCCATTGCGGGGTCTTGGTTTAATGTATGTTTTGTGATTTTTTACATCAATATCGCCGCGAACGCTTTGGTTACATTCTAAAAAACTTACCAACGCACGCCATGCCTCTGCCCCAATCTCTATTACTTTTGGAATTCTTTTTGATTTGCTTTGCTGCACCTGGAGCAACCACTTCGTTTGTATCTCTCTTACAAGAAGGGCAGTACCAGTCTTCTTCGGGCAGTTCCTTTAGAGGTGGGTCCAAGCACTTCATATGGAAACCGTAGTTACACTCGTCGCAGAGGATAATCTGGAAAATCATATGCGCAAGAATTGTAATATGTATAATTATAAAATTGGCTATTTGTAAGGTGATTAAAAATACACTATTATGGGTAAATATTTGAGTATTGTGGCAGGTTTGAAATTAAACTCCTATGAGATATTAAAAACAAAAATAATTTTGGATTGTTAGCTTCCTTGAGTTTATTACAACTTACTGCTGGAATTGCAATTGTTTTCACAAATTATTTTTCTGTTACTGCCGGCAACAGATTGTAAAAAATATTAAGATACACTATTTACTAATATTAGCAAATTAAAGCTATTTTATCATAATGTACTATTTTAATAAGCAGTGTTGGTGGTTTAAAAGTGACTCAACTATTTCAATTTCAAATTTCCTATTAAAACAAATATTGTGACTATTAATACACATTACTTAATAATATACAAAAATCCATTTTCTCTTATATGAGGCTAAGTAAGGTTAACACCTTACAGTACCTTACTTAACAGTAATACCACCCATGGACACACTGTTAGAAGTTCGCAAGTGCGTTGCAGGCCTTTTAAGACTCCCTGTGTTTTTGTTATGTTAAAGGAGGCAAACGGGCAGGAGGCTCACCAGATGTTAAGTGATACCGCCGCCCATGGACACTCGCACTGCCAGTCAGGCAAGGCTAAAGCCAAGACCCATATAGGGTTGTAGCGCTACTGAATATCAAATCTATAGTTTTCAAAGTACCTCATCAGGTGATTCCTTTCCATAGCAGATGTAACAGCCACATTCTTTACAATTTACATCCTCATCATCACGACACGCTGTGCACCTTAAAGGTTTCGATCCTAAATACATACATCAATTATTACTAAAGACAAAACAAAGACATCAATTTGATCTTCACTTTTTGAATTTGGTTAACATAGCTTTAAAATCCCTTTAAATTACATTTTTTTTTAAATAAAAGTTGTCAAAATTATTCATGAAATATCAAAAATGGTTTTTCATTTAATTGTTACTAACTTGGCTCAGGAGGGTTAGAAATCAACTTTTTGTACTCCTCAGATCGTTTCGCTAGTGGAACAATTTCTTCTATTGCAAATATTTTATCATGAATGGGGACTTTGGTGTCATTTTGAGGTATCGCATCTTGACCAAGATATAGTGTTCCCACTAGTTCGTAACCTCTTCTACCCTTCTTTACTTCCTCCACTTTAAAATCATACCTGAAAAGTATTAAAACACAAAAAGCAATGTAGAAATAATGTAGAAATCTAAACCTACCTCAAATCCTACCTTCAATAACTAAATCGATTTTGATTAAATTTGGACTTTTCCACAAGTTGGAATAGTTTTCAAGAAATTTGCAGATAATATACAAACAAATATTATTTAAACCAAACAATATCACATATATACAATCTAATAACTTCATTTTCTTCAAGTTGCTTGTAAAAATTAAACCATAATGCAATAGAGGCTGGTAATTGAGCTACAAAAGCAGTACTTTTTAAATTTATTAATTCAATACTTTGATATTATGCTAAGTATAAGATATATCATAGACAAAGAAAGAAAATAATAAATTTATTTTAAAATATATTACCAAAAGCCTTTTTCTGATGATTTGTTAATGTTGTGGTTGATCATAACCATCCATCCAGGTTTCACATCTTTGATATCAATGCTATTCCGTGCTCTTGGCCTAATTTCTTTTAACTTACAAAACTGATCTGAATCATCCTCACTAAAATATTTTTTACGCATATTAGGAGAGTTGTAAATGTTTTAGTTTATGTGTATTCTATATTAAAATTCAGAACTATGAAAACTATATTTGACACATGGAAATAATACCCGGCACTAAATGTTTCTGTTCAAGAGAGTATTGAAATTGGTATACATGTCACATATGGCCTCATATCTAAAATAATAAAAATTAACACAACAATACTTACAACTCTTCAAAATGTACTTTAAATAGTAAATGCTCTTCTTGCCTTATAATATTAGTTTTGAACTTATCTTTCATCTGTTTGGCAAAAAACTTTTCAATTCCTTTCTTTTTACTGTTTCCTGGAGGCTGGTTCTCAACATCATTTTTATCATATTCACAAGTATCTCTGGGAATGTCTGCAACATTAGGGTCTAGCACTATTCTTATAATTTTTGCTTCAAACCATGAACCCTCATCTCTGGTTCGTACATCAACTAAATCACCAACTTCGAACAATGTGCTCGTAACATCTGTAAAGTGAAAAGTAACATTTGGCTAACAATTATTGAAATACACCAATACTGTTAAATGTTGATTATTTAGTATGTGTATTTAATTTAGAATGAGGGTAAAAAAAACATATTATACAAGGATTTGTGGTAAAAAAATTGCAGTAAAACTACAATCACATACAAATGGATGCATAAGATGATTGTCGAGTTGGAAGAGAATGGAGGAGATGCATACCTACATACAAAGATGTACCTAAAATAAATGCAGATGAAAATATATTTAAAAGATACTAAGCATATTTCTATTAATTTTAAGATTTCATAATAAAATCATATAAGTAGGACTAGGAAGTAAAATCAGGTAAAGGAAGGGAACTAAATATAACATGGATATCTGTCTTTCATAAACCATAAAAATACAATATAGCTAGTGTCCACACTATTTTGACTATTGTTCTTATCTGTTTAATTTACATTAAATCATAAGTTCACATTTAGCAAGCTCTTAATATATTCTTTATATGGCTTGTATAACAATGAATTTCAGATATGATGTATAGAATGATAAAATGGACTTAAAAATACCTTTGTATTCAACTTTCTTTTCTTCAGACTCTTTGGGTACAGAGAATTTGAGTTCCTCTTTTATTTCTTCTTTTTGTACATTGTCTTCTGGACATTTCACCATCAATTGGACAACATCATTAAGTTTGATATTATAGTCATGGAATGTGTATCCATTTTCAAGCTAAAAGTATATAATAATATAAGCTGTGTTTAAGTACGTATTGACATAACAAATTATCAGCTCTTAGTAAATTGTTAAGCTTTGTCTTAGCAGGAGCATGGTAAATTTGGTAGAACTTAAATAGCCTATCTATTGTTAAAAGCACAAAACCTGTGTAACATAGATGGCCATAAACTTTGAATATTCAATTAATTATAGTTCCATAGCCATGATAGCTTTGTGGTTATGACGTTCTCTAGATTCCTGTGATGAAACATTTCAAATAAATAAGATTGCCTGAGAGTGTACCACTAATTATAGAAGCATTTAAATTTTCAATAAAAGTTATAAACGTACTTACCACTTTCCCTCCATAGAATAAACGTTGAGATTTCGGTTCAACGCCAAACTTTTCTTTTATGATACGCCGAAACTGTTCTATCTTCGTTAGTTTAGATTCTACAACAACAATTGTGTCAGGTTTTCCAAAAAATCTTACTCTGACATGCATTTTACCAAGGAATTATGAATTGTGCCCGTTTTTTTTAAAACTGGCACAAATGACAAAACGTAAACAAATATGGCCTCCTACTACCTGTAATTCTAACAGTTTAACCAAAATTTAACTCCGAAGAAAGGTGGAATATAATTCAGCCAATTTAAATATCTCAGTTGATGCATTATCTACGCCACGTCAATGTCAAAATTGCATGTATAGATCTATCTACTTTTTAAAGTTAAAAATTGGTATAAAGTTTTGTTGCGGGATACAATAAGAAATTAATTATTAAAACTGTGAACTCTGAATTATTAATATAAGATTGAATTATTTCAATAAGAAAGTTAACATCTATGTTAATTGCGTAGAATGGAACATGATTCTTAATTTCGCATTGACAATTGACATTTGCGTTTTCCAAATTCCAATTTTCACTTACCACCACTGTAAAACCCGATTTAAAAGCTTATTTAAATATTTTCACACATTTTTAGATTATTTATAAATATTACAAATCCATTCTTTTATATAAAAAATGGTGACAATACGCTGTCGGTTTAATTGGAAGGAGTTATGGACTCTAGCTTGGTACCTAAGTATAGTTTTCTGGCGTGTCTAGCGGCATTCGTTGTTGAGACTCGAGAGTAGTTTTATAATATTAAAGTTTTCTTGGTTGGTTGAGAATGTATAGGATTAGTCTATAAACTATTTTGAACCTTTACCAATATGTTTAAAGTACAATTCAAGGTTGTGTGGCAAGATCCAGCTTTTCGTTTAAATATATGTATATTTATTTCTACATATGAAAATCTTGTTAAGGATATTGACCTGAAAGCAAAATCATTTTCAAGTAGGGGGATGTAATAAAATGTTTCAATATAGGCTCAAGTTTCCACTTATTTAAGGGTGTACTAACTAAAATTCTATACTTATTCTCATGATACCTGAGACCTACCATAGTTAGATTTTCTCCTGGACTTGTAGACCATCCTGAAGTTGCATTGTTTATATTTTAAGTTCAGAAAGTTTTCAGTTATATAAGTTACTAAGCTGTCAAATTTATGACCAAAAGCTCCATTAATTCTAATGTTTGAATTATTATTTCCTGTGCATTTATTGTGTTTAACACAGTAAAACTTAACTTAAAATAGTGAAACTTTATATTCACTAGTTTGCTTTTTATGATAACTTTTTTTTAATTTCCAGGGAATATATAAAATGGAAGACTGCACAAATCATTTTAACTATTCAGTCTCTTTCTTACAATGATCATATGAGTTTTAACTATGCAATTGATTGCTTGTTAGAACCAGTATTCTGGTTTGTCGATAATTTTGCTGGATATTTAGGAAGGGTAATAATAATTTTTTTATGCTTTGGTTGGAAGGTCATTTGGAGTTGGAGAGTTTTTGACAAATTATTGAAATTTCAGGTATTTGTATTTAGTGTGACAATTCTCACAACAGCAGTTGTTGGCATAGCATATTGGATTGGCTTACCATATTGGTGGCACAGGAACCCATACTTTACAGTATTTCTAGTAATTTTTGGTCATTGGCTGTTATTGAATATTGTGTTTCACTATTATATGGGTGTGAGTACACCACCAGGCTACCCTTCTCATGTAAGTTGTTTAAAATGGGTCACTCAAATAATACAAAATAATCGTCCTAAGACTATGTATTAACAAATAAACCTTTTTGTTCAAAGAATTTATTGAAGTTTAGCACCAGCCCCAATAGTGGTTGAGTAGTCATATGAATGTGTTGAAAATAAATTTTCGGCCAGGCCAGGAACATTCTATGTAATAATTATTTTTATATTATTAGCGTTCACTGAAAATTATTTAAATATTTAAAAAAATTACCTACACAATTTATTAATTTTTGGTAGAACTTTCATATTTATAGCAGAACAGTATGCTTAAATGACCTTTAAAAGAACAATAATAATGATACAGGTTGTTTTTTAACTGTTTAATACAACTGCTTGATAGCATGTGATTGACCTTACCCATATGTGTAATTTTAGTCAAATTTACCTTTGTTGTGAACAAACCTTGTTACCTTTAAGGTAGGGCCGTATTTAGGGGAGGGTAATCGGGATTACAGGCATGGGCCTACTCCACAAAAGAGAGGCCACAATAGACTTTGTTAAAAAACAACTTTTTCCTTAGTTTTTGTTTAAACGTATTAAATCATTGAATTAAATAGAATCATTGAACTGGACTGTTTTTTTTTTTGCGAATAATTTGGGGCTAGGGAAGATCCACTTTGTTGCCTCAAGACCTCTAAAACCGGCCCTACTTTGTGAAGTAATTTTATAATATATTTTATTTGTTTTGACGTTAGTAATTCACATCTTACAATTACATAAGAGGTTATATCATTTACTTTCAGGGTGCTATATTGATTGAAGCTGCAAGTATATGTAAAAAATGTATATCACCAAAACCACCACGGACACATCACTGTTCAGTGTGTGATAGATGCATACTTGCCATGGATCACCACTGCCCATGGCTTAATAACTGTGTGGGATATTATAATGCCAGATATTTTTACCTGTATATGGTGTATATGGTTGCTGGAATTTGTTTTCTAATTATATTTGGAATAGACATTGGCTATCAAGTACTTTGGGTGTATGATGGAGGTGAGTATAATTAGAAAAATTATATTTATATAGAATTTAGAAGACATCAAAAAAGATAAGTTTGTGTTGACACTTGCCGTTATACTCTGTCTATACTAAGTCTTAGCAAGAAATCACCACAACTTAATTGATTAAACGAATTGCTAAGCTTGTCAGAACAGTATGTGTTTGAGAACTTGCCTCTAAACTTACTATGACAAGATGCTTAATATGTTTACCATAATACTTTACAATATCATTTCTACATTCTAAGTTTCATGATATATAGATATTCTACATATGCGTCTTTGAGTTTCTATAAATGACTGTATTTAGACTTGTCTCACAGAGTAAATTCTGTAAGGAAATATAAGTGGATGTTAGCAATGAGGCCCATGTAACTCTTCTATCAGTCTTAAAAATTTTACATTAATTCCAGATTCTACACCAATCAAAGATGAGCCTGATTTATTTGGCCATCCATTAAAATTGAATAAAAGTGGTGTTCTCGTCCCAGTTAAAGATATTCCTGAATATGATTCCATCAACTTTCCTCGTGAACACATTCTACCAACGCCAGAGATCACGCAGTTAGATCTCATATCAGCTGATCCCTGGAAGAGGAAAGCTATAATATTTATGGCTATCACCTGTCTCTCTGTTCTTTTGGCACTCGGAAGTCTGGTTACCATGCATGGTAAACACATAAGTAGAGGTGAAACTAGTGTGGAGTCACATATTAATGCAGCAATGGAGAAAAGATCCTCTTCATTTAGGAATCCATACAACTTTGGTAGAAGAAAAAACTGGAAGATATTTCTCGGTTTAACACAGGGTAGGACGTTTTTACATGTACTATTCCCATCAAGACACGCGCCCACAGGCAATGGCCGTACATGGCATATGATTAATAATGACCTAGAAGACTGGCCCTAAGAGCATTTTGTATTTATGTATTATTTATTACTTAAACTTAAATTTAAGATTAAGTTACTTAAATTATCAACCATTGTAGTCAAGGCTCTAATAATCAATTTAATAAAAGCTTAGGATTAATTCTTATTAATTGTATATTCATCAGAAATTTAAAAAAAATGTGCCCCATATTTCCCAGTAAGTGCTTTTGATGTTAAATGCAATGTAGATCAGTTTATTGTGGTAGACAGTAATGACAAATAGAATCAATAGTCTAATAAGATATATGTAATATACATATAGTATCCATTCAGACATTCCACGACTTAGTCCAGTTGTCGAGAACGAGGTTAAACTTGGAAATTTGTAGTTTTATCCTCTTATCGAATAAGATGTATTAATAAGTCTCTTTTCCTCACAGCGTTATACAATAGAAAGAGTGCAATTAGACTGCTTTAGTTTTTATGGATGTGTTAAGTATATTTGATATTATAACTCATACTTTAGTTAAATTTTATATAAACTAATTTTTAATTTTCCCCAAGCGGTAGGCAGAGGCCACGGCCATTATCTCTAACATATTAATCGTTTCATAATTTCCCCTTAACTTTGCACATAGTATGTCTGACATACTCCCAAACTCCCTTCTCTCTCACTTTGGGCGCTGACCGCACCTGCGTTTGTTGGTGTATACTCGTATATACCATTAATAAAAAGTCGTGTCAGGCCCACTTTCACCCTGATTCAGAGGAGTCTCAGACTCACATATTCCTTCATTCATACGGCCAGAAAGGATGTTGCCTACGCCCTGGCAGCCGTGACTGGATTTGGGTACTCCTGTCAGTAAGCCAGGGTAGTCAATTTATAGCGAAGTGTAGGAGTTAACATGTATTTATCATTGTAAGTAATTATTGCAATTATTAACTGTTACTGTCATATTATGTTTTTATCTAGTCATTATATTATATAAATGATGACCTTCGTAGTCGCTTTAATGTTAAATTATTTTGTATGGTAAGAAGTATCATTGTAGCGCAGTCTTTAAACCAGACTTTAAATAAGTATATTTCTAAAGAAAGACTATGTATCTAATCGCGTATGTGTTGTAATGATTGTAGCTAAACCCGTTTATTCATAATACTGCATCAGTCTGATTGAACTGTTTTAACTACTTTTGCGTCTCTTTTTGTCATGTGTATACGCTGTGATGAAAAGAGACAGCAGTTAAAACGGTGCAATTAGACTTTTTTGTATAAATAAGAGGGATAGTATGTAGTTAATTCAACATTTGCCCTAATGAGTTCATATCTATCATTCCAACACACATTGAATCTAGTCAGTATTATTCCTCAAGTTTGTTTAAATACGAATCTTTTCTTACATTGTGTTCGTCTTTTAACCGACTTAAAAAAATCTGATAATACAAATAAGTTTACATATTGGTTGCATATTTAATTATGACATTTTTTTTTTCATAATTTAAGTTTATTCGTGCAAAGATGTTGTTGTCAATATAAAATGTGAGTAAAGTATTAACAAAATGTTGTTTATTGTATTTCAATTGTATTAAGTTGTAAATATAAATAATATATTAATTAAAGAACATTTCGCTTTTATTATTTTTTAAACTTAAATTTTATGGGAATAAATATTCATAAACTACATTCGATATCTACTTTTAATTACTGTTATATATTATGATAAGTGTTGAAAGACAATATTATTACAGATTGACGTACCAATCCATATTATTTTAATAGAGCAGGGGTAAACGGGCAGGAGGGTCACCTGATGTTGAATGATACCGCCGCCCATGGAAAACCCAGATAGCCAGAGGGTTCGCGAGTGCCTTGCCGGCCTTTTAAGCAAAAAATATGGTACATATTAAAAAATCGTCGCCAAGTTGTCAAAGGAGGAAATTCCACAAAGTCGTATACCCGAGGCTCAATAATAGCCTTGGCCTTAAATTGCATACGTTTCATTGATCATTTTTATTTTTCATAGACAAGTATCTTAAACCTATTAAAGGCTTTTGATTGTGTTAACCATTAAATATTGATCTGAAAGCTTCAACATGAAGACAAAGTTTCAACCTGATGGACTTGAACTTAAAAGAAAGGATCAACGGTTCAATGTCTACTTACGAAGTCACTTCTTCGGGGTCTGAAACATCAATGGGTGTCCTGCAAGGATCTATACTCGACCCTTTCTTATTTCTGATTTACATAAATAACCTTCCATTCTTTATCAATGAGATGAATGTAATAAATAGTTCTTTGCCGTGCAGGACTACTTTGCTTACAGAGTCAGTAACGGCATCTGGATGGCATCAGACGAAAAGCTTACAGATTATAGGCCCCTAAAGGTAGGATGCAAAGAAAGATCGCAGCCTGTCCAAATCTGCTGACCTATAGTGCCAAATACGGAAACAACCCAAAGAGCGGGGCCACGGTGGGCCCTTACCTAGATGGCACAGTACTTACTCCGGACCACGCATTGATCCGATGAACCCAAAGGACGGTAGACGGTGACTTGGTAATTTCTGGAAGTGAGGTTAGCAAAAGGTCCGATGAATATGGTTTGTCATCATCCACATCTGGTATTCGCGTAATTGTGCCAGTTTTGTCAAGTTGTATGCCGGCATGATAGAATTTTAATCGCGTTGAATTAGGGTGCTCAATTGGTAAAGTCCACAGAGAGCGTAGGAGAGGAAGAGGCCTTCAGTAATTTTTTAATTCATGTTTAGGTTTCGATAGTTCTGACGACTAAAACGATGAAAAGATAATCTAAATAATACACTAAAAGATGTCACCTCTATAAATAATTTTGCCACATTATTTATTGTTGAATAATAAATATCATATACTAATAGGTGTGATCTTGGACAGTAAACTGCTCTGGAACAAACATCTAGAACACAAACTAAACAAAGCAACGATCGACTTCTATCAATGCAAAAAGATGCTAGGCGTGAAATGGGGCTTGTCGCCTAAGATAACTATATGGCTATACACTGCCATTATCAGGCCAATGCTAGCCTACGGAGCCCTTTTTTGGTGGCCTAGAACAGAACTTCAAACGGCAATAACTAAACTTGGACGCTTCCAAAGGCTTGCTTTGTCCGCTGCTAGCGGTTGCATGAAAACAACACCAACTGCAGCAATGGAGATGGCCCTGCAGATCTTACCTCTAGACCTACACATACAGCAGGAGGCAGCCCTGGCTGCTATCAGGCTTATGGTACTGGATCTATGGGGGAAAAATCACTATAGTGAATCACACAGCGATTCTCAACAGGGCGATAGAGTATCAACCTCTTATAGCTGCGCCCTGTGATAGAATCACTAACCAACTAATATTTAACAGGAAATACCACATACAACTGAGAGAAGAGGAACATGATCGGTCGACCATGAATGAGCTACGTATATATACAGATGGATCTAAAACAAGGTCTGGCTCAGGCGCTGGCATATTCTCTCTTGATCTCAACATCAACATACACCTACCCCTGGGCACACAAAGCACGATCTTTCAATGTGAATGTGTCGCCTTAACCGAAGCAGCCAGAGCCGTGCAACGTCGGGGGATTAATGACTTTTGCATTAAATTCGTATCCGACAGTGCATCCGTGCTGATGGCGCTTGGAAACAAAAAAACCAACAGCAAACTAATACTGGAGTTTAGAGAGAGAGCACTAGAGGCCATAACCCGAACCAATAGGGTTACCTTGTAGTGGATAAAGGGACATAGTGGATCTCTCGGCAATGATGCTGCTGACGAGCTTGCGAGAAGAGGCTCCGGAATGATGCCTGCTGGCCCGTATCCGCTCCTCCCCTTGCCCTTCTCGCTGGTGCGAACCTGGATTCGCCAGAGATCCGCTGAACTCCAGCAACAACGATGGTCGCATAGTGCGGTCTGCAAACAGTCCAAAATGGCTCTGCCAGCAGTGAACCCGCAACTGACAAAGCGACTACTAAGCTTAAATAGAACCAACCTTAAAACCATGATAGGGACAATAACGGGTCATTGCCTCCTAAATAAACATCTCTTTGTCCTAGGCGCGACAGACAGCCCCCTGTGCAGAGGCTGTTTCAGCACAGAGGAAACAGTCACCCACGTAGTCCTGGAATGCGTGGCTGTGGCTAATCAACGTGAAAAAATCCTCGGAACGGTGAGGTCGCTCCGGGAAGCCGGTGAAGTGCCCAGGAGACTTCTGTGCTTTTGGAAGGAGCTAGGCTGGCTAAATTAGCCAGGACTCGTACGCACAACGGACCAATTAGGAGTCCAATTGCGGAGAACGGAGTCCAACTACCCTATACCCCCTATACCCCTATCATATACTAATAGCTCTAAATGAATATTCCTAAATTTCCATCGAGAATGCAGTTTAATTATTAAAAAAACTGATTTAGTAGCTTACTTTAATGTTCTAATAATGGATGATTTAAAAATCAAATAATAATTGGGCAATTTCGTCCATTAAATTAAAAATTATCATTTCATCATCTTTCCCTGTACTTTTGTCTGTTGTCACTCTCTGAATTGCCATTTGTCACTTCACTTCACTTTATTTATAATGGCGACATCTGTGTAAAAATTTGCCATTTGTCTATCTGATTTATCAATTGTCAATAAATTAGGAAAACGAAATGATGTAAACGCCAAATAGTAAAATTTATCTTCACAAATTACAAATAGTATCTTCTACAACCTAGTTAATAAAGAAACGTCTTCGATAAGTTATTATTGTGAAAGCGCGTTCCAAGTGATAAAATACTTATGTAGTGATTGGGGAACAAAAATGTACTCGTGGTGTCTTATTACATATTGTGCATTTTTTTTAATAATTTTAAGTAACGGTGCCGTTTTACGGGACGACGATGTTGACCACCAAGGACTTTATAGCAAGGCAGACCAAGTTACAATATTAACAAACTTAAATTTCAACAAAAAAATTTATGGCCAACGAAATGCCTATTTAGTTCAATTTTATAACAGCTATTGTGGACATTGCCGGGCATTTGCACCAAAATTTAAGAGCTTAGCTGCAGAAATTGCCCCATGGGAAAATATTATAAAATTAGCGGTTATTGATTGCTCAGTTGAAGAAAATAATGAAATCTGTAGACAATTTGAAGTCATGGCCTACCCATCGCTCCGATATTTACATGAAAAATATGTTATTGGTAATGCTTTTGTTGGGGACAATTTTATGTCTGCAGACACAGTAGACAAATTAAAAGCTCAATTAATCATGAAAATGCGATCTGAGCAAAAAGTAGGTCGATTACTATTTGCACCTAATCTAGGTATTGCTGCATATGGTTCTTATGCTGCAGCTTTAAATACTGTTTCCGCTAATGTTGTTTATACTTTCCTTGTATTTGAAAGTGAAAATTCAACAGTTGGTTCAGAACTTGCCCTTGATATTAATGACTATAAAAACATTAACGTTCGTCGGGTATATGAGAACAGTGAGTTAGCTACAATTGCAAGTGTCACTCAATATCCTGGTCTAGTTGCTGTTAAATCAACTTCAGAAGTGACTGGGCTCACTCCAAAGAATCCTACAAAGCAGAATCTTCTTAAAGCTGTTAACACATTTTTAAAATCTAATGACTTTGTTTTTCCTGTAAGAAGCAAAGTGGTAGAAGACAATTCCGATAGTTTTATATTTTCTGAAACTTCTACTGCAGAATCTGATATTGTTTATTATTCAGACTTAGAAAGGACATTAAAAACCAGTTTACATACAGAAATATCGAGGCATAAAATGTTGAGCGGTGAAGTTTTACAAGCTCTGTTAAATTACCTAAATGTTCTTATTGTGTCATTCCCTGCAAGAAAAAACCTGAAAGAGTATTTAACTGACTTACATAATGCTTTAGCTTCAAAAAATGAATGGAGTGGTAGTGAAGTTTATCAATTAGTCAAAAGCCGTGAAGCTGCTCATGAGCCTGTATATACAAGCAATTTAGACTATATTGCATGTAAAGGCAGCCAGCCACAGTACAGAGGGTACACATGTGGCCTGTGGATTTTGTTTCATACTCTAACTGTAAATGCTGCTCAGAAGCCTGGTTCACAAGGGCCTAGAGTTCTTAGTGCCATGCATGGCTATGTAAAGCATTTCTTTGGTTGCACTGAATGTTCCCAACATTTTCAAGCAATGGCAGAAAAGAACAAAATATTTCAAATTACAGAAAATGACAAAGCTGTCCTTTGGCTCTGGATTGCACACAATGAGGTTAATTTAAGACTGGCTGGTGATGTAACTGAAGATTTAAAACATCCGAAGATACAATATCCTAGTGTTGACAATTGTCCAAAATGTAGACTCGCTCGTGGTGCTTGGAATTTACCAGAAGTTTATGAATATTTGCAAAAAGTGTATGATGCTGACAACATAAGAGACCTACGAAAAGCAAGATCTGCAGCAACTGCACAGAGCCCACTTTCCAGTCTGGATATTGGAATGCTAAGCCTTCTGTACATATTTTCTTTTTTTATACTTATTTTAGCTATTAAGTTTTTACTTTCGAAAAGGTTTTTTAGAACGCGTCGCTATAAACATGCCTGGGGTAAAGTATAAACTAGCTATTGTTTTGAAATAATCTTGATCATATTGAAACCAATACAACAATTTGTATAATGGGTGCTCTCTGTATTAATTGTAGTTTTAAATTTACAAAACCATTTAAGTAAGATAATTATGATGAAGATTTTAAAAGCATCATTCACCCTAATAGTATGCTGTTGTTTTAATTTATATAGGATTAATGTAATAAAGCTATATATATATACATATTATTTAAAAAATATATATTATAGAATTGAGATTTGCTATCAAGTATTCTTGTTTGTTAATTTAGCATAATAGCAATTATGTCATTCTTTATGTTGTTCTAAACAAGTATATATATGTCTAAGTAAAAATAGTTCATTTATACATTTTGAAAATTGCTCAATAAAACATTAGCTCCTTGAAATACTCAGATATAAAGATACAATTAATAGTGTACACCAAAAAACATTCCATAAAAGGCATTTTTATAATATATAACTAACTGATTTTTATGCTTCAAATGTGTGAATTTGCATACATTGATAAAAAAAATTCATTAATTTTATATTATAAAATAAAGAAATATTATTGACAAGACATATTAGAAAATATTCTTATATAGATGTTTTTTTTAGATATAAATTTTTATTAGATTATTAAGGTAAAATGTTATAATATATTTTAATAGAATATTTATGTGCTCTTTCTTACTTATGAAACACAATTTATTTTAATTAGTCATATTAAAAAACCATAATAGATTATCAAGTCCCCATGATAAATGTGATTTTAACATATCATCTAGATTTCATTTCTCCCATTTATTACCAATTGCAATGTTCATTTCATTTCTTATAACTTCCGTTTTGGTTTTGTTACATTAAAAAATAATTCTTTACGCAGTTTACTTCATCACGTCTGGAGAAACTTCCTATAAATAAAGTAAGGTCAGTTTTGATCTTATTAATCGGTGGCGGGCAGTGTGGTTAATTATACGCAATTTTTACGGTTTAAAATTGAAATAAGTCGTTCGTTAAGCTATGTTACTGTTTTATTATAATTACATTTACTGAATATAGTGTTCATTATTCATATGTGATTATCAGCTTGCATTGTTTATAAGATTAATTGCTTTTGTAGCTATATGCTTTTGTTCTACACTTATTACAATTATTTTGTACTGTGTGTATAGTGTTTTTATAATAATAATAAGTCTTTATTTATCCATATCTAGTTTACAAAATGAAGGTTGTTATTCTAAGATGCCGCCACCCTCCGAGAGAAGGCCTCCCCCAAATTTATCTACCCTATTTTATCTTTTGCCGTAAGCATAATTTTTTTTGCTAGCTACTCTTTTAATCTCGAATGCCCTTGTTTCTCTGTCCGGTTGGGCAAATCCTCCCTGTCCATCTACATTTGAGTTGTAGTGCATGTTTATCAGCGTTTATTTTTCTTTTTCCGCGGATACTTTCACTTCTCTGTTCGTCACTCAGTTTTGGCTTAAACTTTCGTACTGGACAGACAAGTTTGTGCCCAAGGCACGAATCTACCACCACACCTTTTTTTAGTTAAAGTTGAAGCTTACTCTTGAGAATTTTCTTTAAGTTCGAGCCGAGTTCTTCCTCGTGCCTTATTTTCTCAAATGAAACTTGTTTCCCAAGATAAGTATAGCTGTCTACATACTTCGTGGCTGTTCCTTATAATAGCATAAATGTTTGAAGTCCTATTATATTGCTGGAGCATTTAGATCTCGTTTGTTGTAGTTTTTTTTGTCATCTTCATTTACGTTTACATTACTTATTCAAATATCTCGAGCGCATTAGCTAGCGTATTCTTTTTTTCCGACAAATGTATGTCTTAATATTTCGGAGAAACGCTATATGTATCTTGGGGTAAGGGATGTCTGTGTTTAACTCTGTGGACCAAAAACAGATTTTTGGCCCAAGTCTGTCTAGTTTTACTCTACTGATACACTTCTCATATTTGTCTTTTGTCCTTCTTCGATATGCTCATAAAAGACATTAATGTTTCGTACTTGTATAATTGATACATATGAAGTATCAAATTTTAGAATTATTAATATTTGTTTTATATATAGTATTATTTAGAAACACTACCCCATTTGTTAAACTTTTTAAATATTTTATTTATGTTTCTTCTAAGTTTATTCGTGTCACGATTGGCTTCTATCGATTTTAATGATTCTCTTCTTTTTCCAGGTCCTTTCAGGTTAGGAGTTTTGATTTTTCAAGAATCGCTAGTCTTCCTTTTTCTCCTTCTGTATTAACGCTTTTTGCAATTTATTGAGTTTGTGAAGGAGTTTGTTAAACGAAAATCTTTCACATAGAACGGTATTGATTCAAATTTAGTGTTTTGTTTTAGATTTTTATTTCGGCCCATCGTTGCTTTTTTCCCAATCTTCACACGCATTCGATGCTATCGTCGCACGATATTTAAGTCTATTACTTCCACAATCATTGTTTTCCTGATCCCATTTTTTTGTTCTCCTCGGGTCCAAAAATAAGTAGCTTTTCCGTCGCAAGTTCATTCTCTCTGGGTGGTTTATTTTAAGATTTCGTATTGGTTATCGAAATTTTTCGTTCATGTTTCGATTGTCTATTTAATATCATCCTTTATATCGTGCATGTCGAATTATTTGGTTGATTGCGTCTTGCCTTGGTAGTAATATACTTTTGTTTCTCACATTCTCGCCCTTGTCTCAAAATCTAAATTTATAATACTTATCAATTAGGAAAGTAAACTATTTTGTGCTTGGTGCCAGGGTTCGAAGTCCGACATCGTATTAGAATGGCTCAGACAAAACCACTAGACCAGCTCGGCTTTTTATATATTATATTTTATTACCTATTAGAAAAATCAAAATTTTTATATTAATGAATACTAACTCGTTATTTTTTTCAGGTTTATGACATGACGGATTGAAGACCGATGAAAATTATGAAGTGTTTAAGAAGTCTTTTACCAACATTCATCCAGTGAATCCTTACTATAATGATTGTTAATTAATTTTAGTTTTGTCAATTACAAGTTAAGAGAAAATGATATCGATATAAATGTAATTAAAGTATTTAAATTATCATAGAATTTCATTTATGTAAATGGTAAATAAAACAAAATAAATGTAGTTTCTGAATATAATACGAATAGAAATCACTTCAATACACATGCATAAAAATGTGAAAACACACAACTTGTGCCACTCAGTGCGATATTCTAAATTATTCGGAATGAGGAATGTGTTATGAAGTCATTATTTTCCTCAAATAATTTGGTTGTTAAAGCCAATAATTCAATGGATAATAACTCATACATTCTTTGTATAAATAAAATAATTACAATCGGTGGTAACCACGCTCTTAGTTGAAAATATTAATGCTAACAGGTGTGTTAAGATGAATAAGAATACACTCTAAAAATCTTTTTTAAATAAATCTCTAAATAAAACACTTGAGGCGGTAGTTTGAAGATACTTTTCCAACTGAGATTCACATATAACAGCTCTTTTAAACCTGTTTTATTAATATATTCATACTGCAACTTAAGTCTATAAAATCTGCTTAAATAATAAAAACAAATAAATTAGGTATACAATATGGCACCGGACAACAATTTTAGTCACACAAATAATAAGGATACATTTACTTAATGTTTCAGTAAATATACAAAATATATTCAAAGAAATTTCGAAGTAACAAATAATATACATTTATCATGTATGATAGAAATAAAAAGGGCTTTCTTAGTCAACTAATACACTTAGAAAAATCTTATAGCCAACGTTTTGAGAATAAAGTAAACAAACGACAAAAAGTCATTAGTAGTAATTTTGCTGCCGAAATCTATTCAAAATAGATACATTGCTTAAAACTAAATACAGTTGTAATAGTCGACAATTAAGACGTAACTTACTTACGTAGCTATGAAACTCGATAAATGCTGTGTCAATATTATTATGTAAATAAGATTTATTGTGCGATACAAATGATATTGACACGTTATGTCCCGGCGAGACTCGAAGTTATTTGTAAATTTTCAATATTCTAAAGTTCATTCATAGATTTTATTGCCTTATGCGATGATTTTAGTAATTCAGCAACCATAAAGTTGACTATTGAAGATTAATTTAGCGCTAGTTCACACAGTTAGGCTATCAGTGTTACATGAACCTCCTATAATCTGAAATAAGTCATTGTGCTATTTAACAAGTCATTCTATTATTCGGACTTATAGCACGTTAATTAAAACGTATGTTCTTCAGTTCATTATATACTATTCAGCGATTATATAATCTTATACTATACCTCACTTTGCTTGCTTACTATTGTAACTTAGCATCTTAACCAAGATGACTTTATTTTATCTTGTCCACGACAGAATAAGTCTTTTGTTAGCAAGAGTGATTCTGGTCAACAAAAATCTGTTACAAAATGTAAGGGCAAGGGAAAAACGTTCTTCATTCAGACGGAATACACAGCTTTGGGTTCTAACATCGATTCGACCATGACTTATCCTCACTTAGTAAGGTCTAGGTTCAAGTATGAACCAGCGCTTATGCTAATATTTGTACAGCTATGACTTAAATGAATTTAGTATACAATATCAATCTCGTTAGAAAAATTTAAAAAATAACGTCTACAAACACGCTAAGTTACCATAAGAATTTCTACACTGCCTCATTTGAACACCAAATAGTCTTAAATATCCTAACGACAGCTAAATAAAAAAATATAGGTATTTTCATTAGTATAACAGTCATTTGTAAACTACCGAGAACATTAGGCGATTGGTCGAATTTTTTTCACCCTTTAACTATTCGTTCCACCCACCACCCACCGAGTCCGCATTCCTGGCCCTTTTGTACTCATAGTCATACAGAACTTAGATAATTCATAAAACATCGACACAATAATCAAATCTAGCTATAAAATAGATTTGTTTGTACAGAGTAGAAGTAGCACTTGAATCGTTGGAAGTTAAGTATAGAATATTGCAATACATTTATTCAAGCTTGAACACTCTTTACCACTAATTGTTTAAACGGAGCCGAGACCCTGAGGACAAAAATTCATGATTAATCGTAAATAAATAACACATATTGACCTTGGTAAAAAGTTTCTGTACACAGTTAGCATGCGCATAAGTAGTGTGATAGATTAAATTTAGAACATTTAACACAATGAAATAAGCAATGATGGACTGAGAGAAGAATGATAATAACGATTTAATATATTCAAATATGGAATTGATTCCGTTGAAGTTGCAAAACCCAATGCTCTATTATTCCTCTCTCAAATCGTTACTAGAGTATTAGTTACCTCGACGACCATTATCTAATTGTGACCAATTCAAGTTATCGCGCTTTCCGCGCCGAGTCACCTCGAGCCGTTGGCGTGGGGACCGGCGTCGGCTCCGTAATACCCTAATCCCAAGGCAAAGTGTTAGTCACAAACAAGGTGAATAATCTACATTGATGACCTTATTATTGGGTGTTGCTATTTCTGATGATAGAAATGTACTATGTACTTTCTTTGTCTTACATCTCGTTATGTATATATGTTACGACGTAACACAATTACTATGTTAAGTTATGAATCGAGATTTCGTTTAGTTTAGACAATGTCAGAATTAGCACCATCATCTTGAATGTACAAGTAAGTTCAATAATAAATATATATAATTATAGAAGAAAATAAAGTAGTCTTAAATAAAAATTTTAAATTTAAATTTGCGTATTTCTGCACACAAGCACATTTGCAATAAACAAACTAAAGTAAAAAAATCAAAACTATGACTTAAATCTTAGATGTACCCTATTTTGTTCTACGGAATCTGGCTGGCGAAATAGCTTTGCGTTGGATGTGTGTGTTTCGTGTTAAACTAGTCGCATAATATGCATTTGTTTTTTATTAATTAGATAGATCTTTAAATGCTTCTAAATATCATTGTTCATTTGTTAGTTGATCTATATAACACAATTAACCTGCCATGTAATCACAACAAGTAGTGTCATTAGTCAAAGCGTTTATGTTTACGAACGAACTGTTTATGTTTAGCTCTGTTTAAAACAACGGATCTATTTGCATTATTTTAATGTATGTTCTGATTTTACCATCTTAAGAAAACTACGTACTTCAAAGATCAATTATAAAATTATTATTATATTCAGAACCATGACCAATTAAGCGGCTTTTGAGTCACAATATCGCAGTCACATAATATGTGAACCGGCTAAAAAACAAACACGTAAAAGAAAATAAAGTTAAGGTTTTAAATAAACACGTAAATACTATCTTGTATACCTAGGAATGAGAAGCAATACAAATTGACTCACGTCACTGATAATGCCGTGTTTTATTTACTATACACATTGAAAGGAAATAACGACATGAAATCATGCTATCAAACAATACCTATACGATCAATTCTTAGGTTATTTTTATATAAAACGTTAGTTATTTAGCTGGAACCATAACACACACACACAGACCAATTTTGAACTACATACGCATGCGGCTTCCACCATTAAGATTGTAAGTGCATATGATAATAATGATTTTAAAGATAATGTTACAAGGTAGAAATATCTAAAGCAATCCAATTAAAATAAAGTAGGTTAAGAACATTATGACAAGAGCAAGGGAAATTGTACACTAACACACGAAAAGCAGATAAAATAATTAGATCATTTTAAGAGCAGAAACATTTTATGTACAACAAAATATGGACCTCATGTTGATAGGCCAAATTTGTTCTGAGAATTAAAATATACGACTATTTCCATTTGCCCAAAGGCGGGTGAAATGATATATCGGAGGACAATAAATATATAAAGTGTAGGTGACAAGACAAATATGAAACATGAAACACAAGCTTCACCAGCTTAGCATGGGACTAGGTCAATTGGTGTGAATTGTCTTAAGAAACATACAATTTGTAGCGTGCTATAAAGATAAATATTTTTTTTTAAATTACTTGAATTAGAAAAAAGTACGTTTCGTCAATTTAAAAAGTGCCAATTTCAAAACTGACATGTTTTAGGCTTACATATAATAAAAATGTAGATTGTAAAAACAAATTAAAAACACTATCTACGTGTTATCAACCTTGTAAGCTAAATAATACTCGATAAATATCTCTACTACTTGTGTTTGCCGAGATAGTTAACATTCAAATTCCATAGGTAAAATGATAAGGTTTTCTGACGGCATTGAGCAATTTTTGGAGGCAATATGGTAGTAATTTCACATTTTCTTGTAAAAAAAAAACATTTCTGTAAATTTCTATACATTTTAAGTCATTAATTTTACGTTTTAAATGTTACTGTAAAGATAATACTAGCAGCGGTTATGCTTTTTGACATTTACCTATGGAACCTTAAGATTTTTCGGGTATCTTGTTTGATTCGTAAAAGGATCACTAACGTAACATTGTAAAACACATTCAATTTTCTTTAGAACAGAAATTGTTTATTATATGGTTTCTTAGTGAAAAATAATCGTAAAATCAACTGTCATATTACAATATTTGTAAACTGAATGGAAAAAATTTAAGCAATTAGCAATATCTAATTTCGAAAAAGTAGTCAATCGTAACCTTGTACGTTATTGAATTTTGATGAGGTGTGTCATCTATTAAATTTTCCGTACTCAAGGAAACTTTTCTAGAGAGCGCATTTCAGCTTTCTGTTTCATAGAAAAATCTATGATTAGTTATCTATAGTAGTATTTTGGATAGGTATAGAAACTGGACCAAATCGAGGGCTTACTAAAAAAGGGACAGGTCAAAAGTAATGAATGTCATGAAATTGGGTGAAGCGAGACAATTATTTCAGGACCTAGCAAGTGGAGATTCCTGGTCTATCTCTTCGGGAAAATAGAAACATATACTGAACCGTTAATCGTGGTTTTGTCATATTAATTATTAAAATTAGTCATGCTGTCGCTTTGACTTTTTTGTAGAATCACGCTGTACAACTTTTCTTATAATTCAAATCAATCTCAATCATTCAATCATTCATAATAAATGTTTTCGTTCCTTCGTCTACCACGACTACCACGAAAAAGTATTTTCATTTTGTTAGTATATAGCCTATGACACTCATAACGTAGCTTTCTATTGGTGAACTCATTAAAGTCAGTTCAGTAGTTCCACAGATTACCTCGTACAACCACAAAACCTCTTCAGTACTACCGCAACAGACAGTAGACGTTTTTACAATCATTTAGTTTTTTTTAATAAAAACTTATATCCTACTTATGAATGCGATAGTTTTGTAAATGCTCAATTTTAGCTGTAGATTATGAAGTTTGCACAAAGATTAGCGAATGATCGTTCTACTACTTATTTTGTAATTATTCTGGAAAAAATACAAATTGTTTTAACGTTTATACGATAAAGATGACCTACGATCTGAGATAATTACTATCACTCTGCATTCGAGTTATATGAGAACATACGATACATATACGTATATATTTGGATGTCATAATGGATACGCATGTATGTACTGTGATGCAATATACAAAACCTAAAACGATTCTTCCTTTGTAACATTATTACAGAATTGAGGTACTGTTAATACAAATCGTGATGAAATTAATACTTTTATTTGTTTATACAATTTTATTTTTGTATAATTACTGCAACGCGAAATAAACATGGCGAAATTAAATAAAATTGTGAGTCAAACCGGCGTTTCCAGTTTTAACATAAAATTTCAAAGGCAAAAAAATATTTTGTGTTACACCTTATAACAAAGCAATGTGTTTCAGTCAAATCTTGTATTAAAATGATTTTTTTGTATTAAAATAAAGTATAATTAGGGTAATATGATATGTAATAATAAACGTAATTTTTTGTAAAATGTTCAATATGTATGAAATGGAATCTGAAGTGTTGTCTTTACAGATTTTCATAAACATTAATGAAATAAATACAAATAGCTATTCCATCCATATGACTTTGTACTAAGGTGACTAGAAAATTAATCAATTTGCACCGTTATAACACCCATCTATCTCTTTTCATCACAGCGTAAACACAATGTGGTAGATGGAGACTGTAGTTATACCAATTATTGCATTGTGACTAGCGTCAGATCAATTTTGTAACCCCACACTAGGGGGCCCCTGTGTTGACTAGATTACAACTCTTCCGTGCAACATGATGCATGTTTAAAACACAATATATAATGTAGTATTAATGTAAAATCTGATTAAACAAAAAATCGTGTAAGATCTTAAGTTTGCGTGAGTATGCGAATGGGTGTGTGTGCGTGCGTGAGAGTGTACTTGTGTGGCTGAGAGATGCTATAAGCGTGCGTGCGCTGTCTGGAACTATCTAATATTGGGATATAATTCAGAGAGATTTAGGTAGAATGTACTAGGTTGTATGTCAAAATTCTGTATGTTGTTCAAATACGGGACTCTTAGCGTTAAGACTCTCAATCGTACCCATTATTATGTAGCTCATTATACGTACAGTATAGAGTTAGTCTTTAGAATTATATGACCCATAACCACATATACTGTGGAATCTCTATAAATCGAACCTCGTTAAGTCGAAATCCTCAGGAAGTCGATAAAAATTGCCATTCACTTCCGCATTATTTAGACTTTGTAACTCGAACAAAATGAACGAAATATTGATAATACATATATGAATGAATACATTCATTGCATACAATCGAAAAATAAACTTAGATATCACGCCTCTGTAAGTCGAAATTTCAGCAGCGAAAACTTGTTAATTCGATTTTTTTATAAAATAATTTATTCGTGTTATAGAGATTCCACTATGTTACGTTTTCATAAAAACTAAAAGTCCAAATCAAGCAATATTCTCTTTTCATGAAAGCGTAAAATCAACTTGATATACTTAAAAACTACTGCATAGAGTTACATGGTTCACAAATAGGTAGAGGAAAGTGTGCGATTTTGGGGACATTTTTCTAGTACAAAATATTTCACTTGAGACAATGTTTTTATATTTTAAACTCACCTTTATCTTGGAGATATCAACGCCTGTGACGCCTTTGACAAGGTCCGGGATGCTTTGCACAATGCTCAGTACTTCGCCTGTTAATTTAGCAGCACCAACTTCACCGTCACCGCAGGAGACCATTGTAACTTTACGGGCTTGGGATAATGGAGCGGCGACTTCAGCAGCAACCTGAAAAGAAAGATACTCATTACCTTTATTGATTACAAATAGAAAGTTCAGGAGGAGGTCTTTACCCAAAAGGGATCGATGCAGAAGCAGCAGAACACGACGTAATGGAAATAAGAATAACTAACATAGACTAAGTGTCTAACAATTTTCAATTTTTTAATTTTTATGGTGTGGAATTTAAGTGGCTTTATTATTAATACATATTATTATTTACTTTTATTCAATTGATACATAGGAGAAAACGAATTATACGTTATACGAGAAAAAAGGTGTGTGTTGCCTTTAATGACCAGCGGTTTTCCACATTGGTGTTTGGTATAAGTGTCGAAAGTTTGGCAGAGCTATCTCTTGCAAAAAGAGATAATATATGTCTCTAGACCACATATTTATAGTTTGTGAGATTTCTGATAAGGATAAATGCTGTCTGTTTTTTGTTTCAGTTTTTATTGTTATTTTTGTGTGTTCCGAGATAAGCTTTTATTGTAACGTCTTTTGGCAAACCTTTTTTAATAACAAATTTATAAACAAGGGTTAATTTATCCTAGCTATAAAGCATTCAATTCTTAACTCTGAGGCAATTCAAACACCATGTTTTCCCTGTGTGCCATTAAAACATTATATATAAAATTATTAGTAAAAAAAAACCGGCATTTTTAAAGATACAAAGTTGTAGTTAAAATGTTTAGTACACGTGTAAATATGTTAAAGATGAACAAAACATTTAAAAAAAATTGAAGATAAGAACAACCTTGTCGATTAAATTAAATAGTTTCGCCTTTATCAGTGACATGGTGTGTATAATAGTGATTAGCTATAGTTAAGAATATTAAAATCCACTCTGTATTTTTTTTATTTTAAATTAAATTTTATTTAATGATCAGTGACAAATCAGTTATAATTTACATTTTTATCAAAGTTAAAGTTAATATCGCTTCATAAACATAAAACTATTAACTAACTATTATAGCAGTACAGTAATCTGCCAAAACCACGCTCAGTAATAAGCAAGCGATCGTAGATGGTTATGATGTACTTTTAGTTTCAAAAGACTATAGCCTAACTCTATGGCTTAATATTTTTTTTAATAAACCTATACAAAATAAGTTTCAGAGTTTCAGCCTAGTTTCACGAGTTATCAAATATTTTTCTATAAATATTGTCAAACTTTTGACTAATTTTATTGTTTATGGCATTATTTTTTAGAAATCTTTTTCCAGGTTATAAAATAAAATTAAATAAATATTTCATTCAAACTAATTTGTGAAGGCAGATCAATCATAAAACCCTATAAAAATATATGTGATAATGTTTTGTAAATGTACAAAAAGGAAAAACGCAAACCCAACTTATGAAAAATGCTTCGGAAAAAGGAAACAGACTGATATCCAGTCTGAGGTGAGAGAAACTGTTAGTATATGTGTAGTGTGCGATTACTCGTATCTCAAATCTTGCTCTCATCTCAAAAGCAATTCGACTTAGGGTCCTTCAACGATAGAACGTGCCGATTCTTATAAGAACTTTGGCATTGAGAGTGTCCATCGGCGGCAGTATCAATTAACATCAGGTGTGCTTCCTGCCCGTTTGCTCCCTGTTCTATAAAAATAAGCAAAATATCGCTCGCTCGCCTGCTCGATCTCAAAACACTCGTATATCGAGGTACCACTGTATACATAAATAATCAGAAACCGCACGCGGCCCAATTTAAGCATTTAGAAGTAATTGTTTATTAGTAAAATAAATCAAAAGTAAAATTTCAAACTCATATCATAAACTAATTAGTCGATATAGACTAGTAAAGTTAAGCAAAACCTAAATCGTAAAGTCGTAAGCATACACAATGGCTGCTTGGCCGCGTTATATGTCCAAATTAAGTCTAACCTAGGTCGTAGCCTCAGGTTTCGTGTATCTGTTTCGTAATTTTTTTTTTAAAAGCAAGTAAGTATAAGCCTTCTGTGCCAGACACATGTCGAATTTGGGTCTAATGCCGGTTTCTCGCGCCCTTTATATTTTGATATTTCATTCCGTAGAATTCTGACATTTTATAAGTGTTGCTACTAAAAAAGTGACCACCGAAAAATTTGACCCATTAGAGGGAAATAAAAATTAAATATTATTACGTATTTTTATCTTAATGTAAACATTTACTTACTCAAGTGACCTAATACAAAAATAACTAATATTTCCACATCACGAACAATACGAGTATATCGAATTAACTTTAATGATTTTATTTTATTCTTCAGCTGGCATAACTGCCTACTAAATCCAGGTTGTACCAAATTTTATGTAAAATGTTATCTTATCTTTTGCGTTTTTTACTGTTTGTGATGAAAAGGGATGTAATTATCAATCGCCATAAAACCACTTTTGATGTGGAGCACTTAATAAAATGCATATATTCACTAACAAATAAAATGTATGTATAGTCTCTTAGTTCAGACTCGTATTGAAATTGAAAAATCTGCCCGGCCAAAAAGGTTTGGCCTATAGCTGTCAGAATTGTACGAAATTAAAAATCGGGAGTATAAGTACAAGCTATATTTAATTCGCACATGAACGTCCATTGGTGCACAGCGTTTTGAACACACGACCTCAGGGTTGAGAGGCGCACGCTTACAACTTTAGTTAAGTTAAAAGTCCATTTTAAAAGCCAATAAACTTTCAACACATGATTTAAATAAATTTGGACTTATGCCTAGCAATCTGTCTTCTAAAAAGTCAAATAGATATGTTACCCTTGGCAATGTGTCCAGCATCATATCGATCATCGCAGCGGATCCATATTCATCCCACGCATCTGCTTTCTTCGCCATTTGTTCGGCATCGGCCACTGCCTTGGCTTTAATAGCGAACGCTTCGGCCTGTCAAAAATGATAAAATACGTCAATGTAAGCCTCAATTTTTTTAATTATGTTTGTCTAAACGAGGACAATCAGTTATGAAAATATGTTATGGAGAGTACAGTACAGGAATTATTTCCTTTTTTACGCAAATTACCCACACATTGTCTATGCTTGAAAACTAAATGCATTTTCGAGGATTCCTACAAAAAATTAATACGTTTATGTACTATTATTTTTGATTACTTTTGCTGACAATAGAGACAGATAATACGTATGTGTATAGAATAATAACCACAGTTTAAACTATTTTATTTGTCCTATTTTTAAGTAGTTAGTTTAAGTTTGTGTGGAATTGTTTGCGCGACTACAGTTTTGACGAATGCAAGTTTAAAGTAAAATGGTAAATCACGCGAAAAAACACCAACAAATTAACCTCGAGATTTTATACGTTTGGTTTGAAACTAGTGTTTTCATTGTTAGGTAACAACTGAAGCATTTCCGAACTAATTCGACTTAGAGTCCTTCAAGAAAAGAGCGTACCAATTCTTAAAATGCCGGCAACGCACTTCCGAGCCGTCTGGCATTGACAGAGTCAAAGGGCGGCGGTATCACTTAACCCTAGGCTTCCTGACCGTTTGCCTAGAATTTCTGAATACAGGGAAAAGGAAAACTACTGGACCAATTCGAGTATCTTTTTTTATTTCTTGAACTGATGGTTTTTTTCAGAAAAATATTAAATATTAAAAGAAAAACTTAGGTTTGACTGGGAAAAGCGAACAGTCTCTGTAATAGTCTAGTCTCTGCATAGCAAAATGTTCCATATATTGGTATAGAGCTTCTAAAAAGGTAAGCTAAGTAAAAAAATCGTAATAATCCGTAAATAAGTTTGCGGGGGGAGGTATAATAAATAATTGTATTATATACGACTGTGTGTGACGGTTTTCTGTATATGTTTTACATAATTGCAATCTTAAACTTATATGCTCTTTCTACATAGGCCTAAATGGGCCTCTCTTTAGGCATAAACAACTAGTTATATTTAATGATCACAATATGTAACTTTGAATGTATCTTATGGTTAAAGAAATCAATTATTTATTTATATTTGTTATTTTCCGTTCAAAGATACTTTATTTCTCAAAGAATTACATTCACTTAGCGAGAAAATTTAGAGTAAGTTAGTTATGTACAATGTACATCGTGTTATGAAATTATTTGAAAAGAAACTATATAAAATAAAAATATTAGTTACTAACAATATGTACAATATTTTTTACAAAAGTGCAGGTAGGTCGCATCGTATTACAACAGGCATTAAGTGGCTAATTAATAGTAATAATTTCTTAGACGCTCGTTCACAGACATAAGTAAATGCTAGAGGGGCCTTTTTTGGTAGGGGAGCCCAAGAGGGGATTTCGGGATTTACTAAAGCGCGGCAGATTACTATATAGGGGGGACTAACCTTGTACCCGGTTAAGTACCTCCACAAAATATGAGGCCCATATATAAGGCCGCGCGTGAAGGAGACAGGATCAGATTAGTAAAAAAAAAATTGACCATCAGAAATTCCCGAGCGCGTCAGATTAAGGTAGGGTGAGTTAATTACATCCTAAAAAGTGTATATTCCACTAATCTGACAATTTGAGAGTGACGGAAAAAAAGGGGAGGGCAACAAAGTTGTAAAAAAAAAACATCATCTCGACATTCTCGAGCGTAGCTAATTTTTCTTTTATTTTGAAGGAAATAATTCCAGAATAATGAAAAATATATAATCTGACGATTTCCGCAAGCCGAAATAACAAAAATTCGTCGATAAAGTTAAATGCGTGCAGCTGCGTGATGCCTACATTTCCTTAAACCGATCGGAATCTACTAAACGGCGTTCAAAATATTTCCCTCAAAATTACATTTCCTGTGAATTTGAACCGATTCGGACCGATAGATTTTGAGAAATTTTGAAAAATCTTAAAAAAATAAGAAATATTTTTTTTTTAAGTGGTTTCTTTATCGATCAACTTCAAAAACTAATCCGCCTTTGAGCTTGAAAAACCACGTCGATCGCCACCAAGCTGGTCAAAAGCGGTTGATTCGTTCGAGAGATATCGTACATGAAAGAAACCCGAAAAAGTGTTTTTTCGGGATTACTCCGAAATTTGTGGTTCGATCAATTAAAATTACTTATGAGAATGATAAAACTGCGTCGAATGCCGCCAACCGCGTGAAAATTGCTTGATCCATTCAAAAGTTATTGCGGTTTGAAAATTCCAAAAATAGTGTTCTATGAAACTTCTATCAGACTTTCGAGCTGGGAGAGCTCAAATGCATAGAAATGTTATTTCTTTGAACTCAGCGAGCTCAAAATATCAATTTTAAGCGCCCAGGAATGGAATTAGCGGGAAGTTGCAGGGATGGCCCTTTAGGTGAACCGTTTTTCTATTTTTTTTTTGTCAGATCAGGCGAATCCCTCTAGATAATCGTCAGATTATGAGACAGTACGTTTAGAACATAAAGATGAACCACATATATCTTAATCTGACGCGCTTGAGTATTTCAAAATTGCGATTTTTTTTTGCAAATTAAGAAAATGGCTGTGGGTTTGCGTCCCATCGAAATCGTCAGATTAGTGAATGAGAGATTTTTTTTGGTGCACTTAACACTCCCTTAGAAAATCTGACGCGCTCGATAAATTTTTTTTTTTTTTAATTTTCAACCCTTAAATACAACCACCCGCATCATGCAAACGATCAGATTAACATACGTACATTATTAAAAATACGTAGGGCATAGATGCTATCAATATCTGACGCGCTCGAGGATGTCCATGCAACAGTTTTTTTTTACATATTTAACTATCTATAGCCGCTTCCCCCACCGATGAAAAGGAATTTATCATATAACATTTTTTTCTTCTTTTTATCTAAGCTTTGTATCCCAATAGGTCTCTACGACGCTCGAGTAAATCCCCATTTAGCATCGTGGGCTCCCCTACCATTTGATGTATTGTAAATACATTAATTATTCCATTATTTTACGTATAGCAACATTCTCAGCAGGAGATATTGATTACCATAGTCTATATAAGTTAACATTTTATATGGATTTTGTCCAATATATTAGAACCCTTACGACGGTTTATTTTTTGAACGTACCTCTCCGCGAACTTTGACCGCCTCCGCTTCAGCCTCCGCTTCGAGAACAGTCTTCAGTCGGTGAGCTTCGGCAATCTTCTCCAAACGGAACTTTTCTGCCTCCGCTGGTCTATAAGAAAAATCATTAAACGATTTCTCAAACATTATTGCTTAAAAGCGCTCGCGAAAAATTGTGCGTGGATCTCAAAAATTACTGAACTGATTTTGATGAAACTTAGACTTTCTAAGTAATATAGCTTTAGTGATAAACTTTAGTCCGAGAAATTTTTGGACACATACATAGACTTAAACAGCACACGCGCTTGGAAGCTCAAAAATTACTGAACTGATTTTGATGAAACTTAGACTTTCTAAGTAATATAGCTTTAGTGATAAACTTTAGTCCGAGAAATTTTTGGACACATACATAGAATTAAACAGCACACGCGCTTGGAAGCTCAAAAATTACTGAACTAATTTTGATGAAACTTAGACTTCCTAAGTAATATAACTTTAGTGATAAACTTTAGTTCTAGAAATTTTTAGACGCATACATACACTTATAAAATGTATGTTATTATGAAATATTGGATTTACAAGCAAACAAAAGGGTTTGTTTAGAAACAAAATAAAAATAATAACATTAAATTACACAGTTTTCTAGAAAACTTACATGTTTCCGACTGATTAATTTGAATTTTTTTTAATGTAGCCATGATATCAATGTAGTATTCAAATATGATAAAAAGTGGATTTTGGATTTTTTTCAAATCCGACATTGTTCTACGATCATGACGATATGCAAAAAATACTAGTTACGCTAAAGTTCCTTAAAAAACTCACTTGCGAACAGTGGCCTCCAACTCTCTCTCACGCCTTTGAACTTCCCATTTCTGAACACTGATCTCTTGGGTACGTTCGACAACCGCTATTTGCATTTGTTCCTCTTTAATGCGTTGCTTCGTTTTCGCCGCTTGCAACTCGTACGCCATTTCCGCTTCAGCCTGAAATGGTAATACAATAAAAAAATATAATATATGTATATAGTAGATCTGTTTCATGCCAATATTTTAGAAAAAAAAAACGTATTCCTATGGATAGTGGGTTGGTAAATGTATAATACTAGTTGGATATTTCTTTTATTAAATATATAATATTTAGACATATGGTATAGCAGACTTTTTAGTAGATAAAACTTTAATGTCATTTATAAAACTATTTTTTTTTGAAAAATATTCTATGAGCATTTCATCAGGGATAATGTAGGATTATAATGGTGAAAGAACTTTACAAATAGGTCCAATAGTTTTAAAGACTATTCAAATCAAACAAATATTTCCTGTTTACAATATTAGTGTAGAAATGATTGAAATATTGATTGAGATTGATTATAAATAGTGACCAACTTCAGACAAAGAACTTTTGTGACTTTTTGAAGTTATACTTCTTTTAGTTAAGTTAGTCAACATTTTAGTTTTTTCTATCGTGAGTGTCGGTTTTTCTCCAACGTAGAATACAATTTTTAAAAAGATTTTTATCTTGTTACGACAAAGTATAACTTTTAACGTGTGTACGAGTACGTCAGTACACACACGTTTTTTTTTCTTCTAAATGTCATCTCTGATGACTGACGATTTCTGCACCTATTTGGGTAAAACTTGAACCGTTCTCCAATTTGGAATTTACCTAAATTTAAATCAAAAAAGTATCACAACTTTCAGTTTCTGACAAATTTGTTGTCAAACATACGTACATGAAGCCTAAATAGTTTCTTAAACATCCAAATCCACAAATAACAAACATCGAATACCTTTATGGTTTGAACTTCCACATCATAGGCGGCTTTTTTCAATTCGAAATCTCGTTGCGCTTTCGATATTTCGGTGTCGTTGAGGAATCTCGCAGCCATTCTTTGTTCTTCAGCCATTGCCTCCTTTATTCTGGCTTCAGCATGGGCTTCAGCCTCTCCAATTCGAGCATCCCTTTTCACTTCTGCCGTACGCGCCATACCTAGTGCCTTTAGGTATCCCTAAAAATAATAAAAATATTATTGCACTACATTTAAACAACAGAACTGTCCAAATGCAGGAGACTTAAAAATACCTTTTATCTTATTCAGATAATATTTTTCTCTATTATAAAAAACAACGGTACGTAAATTCTACGAAATCACTTTTTTTTTTTATTACGACATTTACCAATGTTTTTTTTACGTTACTAAAATGACGTTATTGGGCGCTTCTGTTCAGGGGTTTGTTTATAATTGTAGTCGAAATATCGTTTATGAATACAACCAAGTTGTAGAAGTATTTCAAATAGTGAATTGAATAAAGCCTTAATTTGAATCTGTGTATTCCAAATTCGTCAACAACTAAGACTTATCAAAGGTTATTTGTCTATATAAGATCTTATCATTATATCCAATTATTGTTGTTATGTTCACATGTACAGTATACACCCATTGTACAGTAACCCATTAAACGATAACAATATATTAAAGTATATGTAGTATAGAAAGCATTGTTACCTTTTTTATTTATTTAATATTCAAACCTTGGTAGCGACCTCTAAATGTCATTTAAAAATTTCAAAAAAAATACTGAAACACTTTTTTATGGTATATTACCAAATTACGTGGTGCTCCGCGAAATTAATGAAAAAATTTTTTTCTTAGGATTAAGGACCACCCTAATGCACACATAAGTGCACATAGGTCCATACACTAGAGACTCGAGTAACATAAGAGCAGGTTCAGAACAGACAGGTACGTTTACGTACTCATCAGAAGCACCAGAGCTACCACTGAAATTCTTTATTGTACCACACTTACTATTGAAGATATATATAATCTTTATACATTACTTGTAGGATTTTAGCCCACACACATGACTCGTTTGTCAAAAATGTTATAGATTTTGACATACAAGATAAATAATTATTTAATTTATATGCATGCATGAGGCCATTTACTACAAAGCATCTACTTTTTATGTAATTCCGTATTTAATTTATTGTCTTACCAACAAACTCGGTTATCTATTGTGAAGATTTTTTTTAAATACTACTTTAATTAAATCAAGCTTAAAACCTAAGACAAGCCTTCTTAAATTAACACTACTGAGCCAATTTCTACAAGCACCACGCTAATTTATAAAGTAGCATACCTTCGCCTCCTGCCATGCCATGCCATGTTAAAAGAATAAATATGACAAGTAAATGGCTATTATGATTATTATAAAATCTACTAACTTTTAAGATGCAGGCATGCTATTTGCCTTGAACGATTTTGCTTTGCTAATGTAATAAACAAATTGAAATGTTGAAAAATCCGACTTCAAAATCTTTTAACTTAAAATCGGCAGCTATATACTGTACTGTAATATGTGCTGTCTAATTAAAGAAATATAAATTGATATGTATTGTTATTAGGTATGACGACCAAGTTTTTTGAAGCCAGTTGAAAAAAAGCTCCTATGCCATACTAAGAACCTTTAAAATTCTAATTGAACCAAATTTCAGAAATTGTGTGTGACTAGAGGTGACTTAGGGACTCTTTTTTATTCGAAATTTATTTGATTGTAATATAATGTTAACATACCTCTTCATCTCTTATGTCTTTAAGAGTATAGGAGACAACAGTTATACCCATGTTGATAAGATCACTGGAGGCAACTTCAAAGACCTTAAATAAATTAAAAACACATTAATCAATCATAACATAGAGGAAATAAAAAAAAAACAAATTTTACAATGTAAAGCTGACCATACAAAACATACTTTTTTTGAAAATATTTTTCTATCCTTGTATATTTCTTCTACTGTCATTGACCCCATAATAGCACGTTGATGACCTTCTAGAGTCACAAGGGCTATATGTTGAATTTCTTGCTCTGATTTACCCAAGAACTGCTCACAAGCAGATAGAAGCATCTCGGCATTCTGACCTTGGATCTTAACCTGTAATTATAAGAATAAAAAATTAAAAACCTTATAAACTAACAACCTGAATATTTTTTAGAATGACAAGTTCTGCCTATGGCTAAGTTCAACAAAATTGGCAATAATTATACAATATGGGGGATATTATTATATATAAATATTTTTATAGGATTAAAAAATAATCTAAAACATCTGTCTAGCCTACGACATTGTCCTTTGCGGACCATTAACATAATTAAGGTCAGAACAATAATAGCGATGACTAATGTAAAATGATTACCTGTGCGATGCCAGTCACAGATATAGGCACACCCTGAATTGTATAAACTGTTGGAGACTCTACTTGCAGGGTCATTGTGTTAAGAGATATTCTTTGTACACGTTGAATAGCTGGCCAGACAAATGCTCGACCACCCGGTACCAAAAGGGGCTTGGAATAACAGCATCCTAAGTAAAAGATAAGGTTATTAACACATAGCCCACTTCTTAGCATATCAAATATGAACTAATTTAAATGCAAAGCATCCTTTATAAATGAATTGTTAAAAATTAATAAAAAAAAATATTTTTGATATATATTATGTTACAAATAAATCGCAACTCTGAAGTTAATTATAATAATTCGCATTTAAGGCATTGAAATAAAGCATTTAAGATAATTAATGAGTAGTTTTTTAAATACAACCTCCTTACCCACTAACAGGGCATGGGACGGACTTATATTTGTATTATATGTAGTTGTTTTACTATATAGGCAAGCAGATGCCTTTTAGATAAGGCATATCCTTAAAGATACCAATAATATGCTAGTTTTAAATGCAATCATTAAAGACCTCGGGTCTATAGAAATTGTGTATTATCAAATAAACCATAAAAGGGATAGTTGAAATTAGAAATCATCTAAAAGAAAGCTGCATCTACTACTACCCTTTATTTAGTGAAATTTATTTATTTACATATTTTATTTGATAAATTACTTTTGGTATTGCAGCGTCTAGTTTTTTCTCGTTAAACATATCTACTTTTGTTATGTACGACATAGTAGATATGTTGTACAAATCATGTTTATAATAATGAAACATAGAAAATTAAGAGTACCTACTTCTATCCTATTTCTCTACTCAAATGTAATAATGTTTGCTTTGTCCATGTGATGTTATTTTTAATATGCTGCCCTGCTCTTGTCATAAGACAGTGTTATCTGGTACTTATCAAATCAAAGAGTCTTATGAGTCGTTGTTATGTCTTTATAAAGTGACATCACTTACCAAGACCAGAATTTGATGATAAGGTTGACTTATTTAAATTAAATATATTGAAAAGTATCTCAATAAAAAATACTGTTGTATTTTTAACTATGTAACAAGCTAAACAAAAAGTATTTTCCACAACAGACGAACAAAACAAGTGTTACAAATATATAAAAATAGTTAACCCAAAGCAGACCATATATATGTTGGACGTAAAACTATAACACTACGTACGACTCATACAAGGAAAATCACGCGAAAATTCGCATAGCTCATATATAACAGTAATATCTATAAACTGAATTAGTTCAATTAAATCGTAAATTTATCAATGTTTACTGTGATAATATAAAAATAGAGCAAACAATAGCTGCATTAGAGTACCGCAAATTATATACCGCCCAGAATATTGGGCTAGGTAAAGATCAACTTACCCGAAACAACAAGCGCTTCATTAGGACCACAAGTCACAAATCCCCAGGTCATGTTCGATGGTTTAAATATATTCAATTCAATTTAACAAATCTCTAAAAAAAACTAAAGTACACTAATTATTGAAATCAAACATAAATCAAATAATCAAAAATCGGCCTAAAATAGCAATGGTGGGGACTGGGAAGTGTGAACGTTAGATTCGGACACCCGAAGCCGAAACGCCAATCGAAAAAATGATGGATGACAATTGACATATTAAACTGTTTTGTATTGACATATATATCATAGTATGAAGTATGACTGTTTGGACAGATAACAATTATTGGCCTTGGTGTTTACCATAGAATAAAAACTAAACCGTAGAACTGTGTAAAAAGTAAGAGTAACCTATTTGGGTCTAAACGTTAAATACCACTTGGGTGAATGAGTCACCTTATTCACACTTGTGTCCTTTTTTGGTTAGTGGTCCTTTTAATACAATTAAATAAAATGCGTTTTTTCTGATCCTAATCCGTTAATATAACAATATCAGGTGGTAATATTATAATGACAGGATTTTACTCACGACATTGTTATTGTTTGCATAAAATATCATAATTATTTAAATAAGACATTACTGTTGAAAATTGTTTGTGTAGGAATGAAAGTACTGCTCTCGAGAGAGGATCCTCGACCGTTTAGGTATAACTTCGATAGGGCATTCAGGTTATGACGTCATCGCAGTGATTATAGTGGATAGCCCCGTCTTTTCGAGTTGTCTACAAGTTAGCTTAACTAAGGAGTAACCCTTCTTAATACACGGTCAAAGATAGAGGTGAAATGAAAACCGCTTTTAACCATACTAGATTTCTCTCAAAACCGCTAAAAACTCCCTTTGTCGCTACTCCTCTGTCCTTGAAGCCTCAGATAGCATTGGAATACTGGGCGTTGACATTGAATGACGTTCAGTTTCGCGGTCATTTGGAAGGGAAGGCTAAATTAGTCTCTAAGAAGCTTGGTGTGCTTATCAGGGTGAGGTGGTACTTCACTGCGGGCCACCGCTTGCAACTCTTATAAAGCGCAAATTCGGCCCCACATGGCCTTATTCAAGGAAAAGCGAATCGAATCGTCAACAACCAGTTACTTATGGTGCGGCTTGATCCCTTGACAAAATACCATCCGTATCACCTTGACGTCCGTCGTTCCACAACTGAGCGATTCTTTAAGCAATTACTGCCGCGCACCACCACTATGTGGATCCAGCTGCCCACTGGTAGTATTGCCCACTACCCACAAGTATTTCCGAACCAATTCGACTTAGGGTCCTTTAAGAAAAGAGGGAACCAAGTCTTAAAAGGCCGGCAACGCACTTGCGAGCCTTCTGGCAATGTAAGTGACCAATAGCGGCGGTATTGTCTCCTATTACATTTTAAAAAACAATCACCTATTAAATCTTCTATCAACTTTCTTATCGCAAAATTCTCATAATAAATAAATTTAAACAAGACCAAGGATGTTCTAATCAAACATTAATCATTCATATTAGGAAATCAATCAAATAAGGAAAATATTAACGTAATAACTCGACTGTAATATGTTTTATATAAATAAATGATTCAATAAAAAATCTTATAATATGTCAGTTTTATTTCCTTAATCTATTTTAGTTCGATTAAGACATACATATCCTTTATACTATAATTCAACAGCCCAAATGTTTTATATCCATACAGTTTATTTTTTAGATTTGTTGTTACTTAATAATTAAAAATTTAATACTAAACATTAAGCTAACCAATACATGGTAAGTAAATGATTAATGTATTAAAAAAATTCTTGTACTGTTTGATATACTATTTTTTTTTTGATAAAACAGGACAATTGACATTGTTTTACCTATTCTTTTACGCATTATTTTCTATGGCCATCATAGATGATAGCCGCTTTGCTTGATACTTTATCGCGGTTTCTATGCTTTTTTCCATATTCTCTTACGATTACAGATATACATAATATGCCGTGGCAAACGTTGTTTAGAAGTTTTACATTTCATAGATGAGTTATATTAATATAATATAGTATAATGATAATTTTTTGTCTTTAACGCAGCTCCTGCAACGGAATCTCTCGAAAAGCAGTATTTGTTTATCTCCATATAATTTTTTAATTTATGTATATATCCTTGACAAACGTATCTAATATACAACACAAATATATTTTTTTATTTGAACCAGTTACCATTACCATCGCTAAACACTAATAAAACATGCGTAGATCCGGCCGGTCCTGTCGCAGTGACATGGTCAGTTTAAGTTTTTAATTACAACCAATTTAAAATTTTAATTACAAACTCTCTAGTAGTCCAACGTAAATGCTCAGGTTCACATTAAAGTTGAACTAGACGAAGTAGTTACGCCTTTACAAACTAGATGGCGTTACGTGTACTAAAATAAACAAACAAACTAAAATGAGCTATTGTTTGTGTCTTGACATTTCCCGAATCAATATAGTCGATATTAAAACAACCAGTCGTAATAGCAATGAGAGGTAGTATTTTCTTTAAGAATCGCTTTTGATTCGCGTCTCGTTTGTAAAAGAACAAATACGATAAAAGTTGCAAGTTGCATGGTCCAATAGTTTATAATCTGATGATTTAATAAACAATCATAAATCGTATCTTACTCTTACACATTTCGTCTTTAGTTATCGATTTACCTCTGAAACCCTATTATCATACTCACGTACGACGCAATTACAGAGCGATTAATATCATTATGTTTAAAAGATGGTGTCTGCGTCGTCAAAAGCCTTTGAAAAATGAAGTATATATTTAGTAAATCAATACCAGTCACATATGAAATCCCGAAGCTCGGGTTAAGAAAAAAACAGATATAATTTCTACCGAGTATTCCAGCCGGGTCTATAGAGAAATCAACACACCGTCGCTATCGGGTCTAGTAATTTTTATATGGAACGAGGGTTATAAATATGGACATAAACAAATATTGTTTTCTTTGTTAAATTGATTGTATTTTTTGTTCATAGTAAAAATCTAACCTGGTGTTCTCCATTACGACTGATTTCTAACTAAAATTTGAAATATCTTTTATCTTGGGCGATTTCAATTTTTTTCTTTAACTGTAATTTCTGTTAAATGTATTTAAAAACATAACTTTAAAATATTGTATTCCAATGTTTATTAACACGTTAGTGATTGTCACTAATGAGATAAGTCGAATTTGGTCCTGTAGGGTTTGTTTGTTTTGCTGTTATATTTACTGTTATAGTCATTCGAAAGCAAAAATATATATTTAATTACTCAGTGCAATTACATCACCGACCATTTCACTGATGGTTTCTCCATCTCCATCCTCAGGTCCTCAAGGTCAATCATAATAATTGTTTCGCCGTATAACAAAACCCAGTACTTTCATTTTAGAATGAATGAACCAAGCACGGAGCCGTTCAAATAAATTCCTATTGAAATGAGTAAATTACCTTTCGTTCATGTAATCAAATCGGTACAAATTTACGGTAGTTATTGAATAGGCCTCGTAGTAATTACTTAATTATCAATGGTTTGTATGGATTTCAGAACAATTGTGTCATTAATATTATAAAAACACTAAGTAATTATTATATAATAAATATTATTAAATTGAGCCTGCAACTGCTTATAATAAATTGTCGATTTAAATGTTGAAGGTGCAAGGCGGTCATAAGTCGGAATGTGTACACCTGCCTCGAGACTTTAAGCAGATTGACAATAAATGCTCTCGGCAATTTAGTGAAATTATCGAAGGCATGAATCGATGTGAGCCGTCGTGAAGGGGTCTAAGACGTGAGGGGCCGCGATTGTAGCGCGGGGCGACGAGGGACGCGGTGTTAGCGCGCAAGTCGTTCTACGTATCGACCGGCCCGGATGTGCATCGAAATGCCGTCGGAGAGATCAACCCACCTTCACACGGAACTACACGACCGCGTTTTAATCGAATACTATGACACGCAGAACGCACCAAGTGTTCTTAGCCTTCGAGCGCTCGTCTCTGGCCTCGCTCTTAGTCATGTATGCCTTTAAACTTTACTTTTGTCTCAGATACCGTTAAAATATTCATATATGGTCAGATTATTAGTTTTACGTTCGATAATTGCGTTTCTCCAAAGAGTAAACTTTGTAAAATCTGAAGGATAACAATGAACATCTCATTACATTGTTGAAAGACTCAAAACTCTTGAAAGTTCTAGTAATTTAATTAGTTCCTTTAAGTAACAATGGAAAAGCGTTAGGTTTCATAGCTTTATACTCCTTTTCGTAATTGTAAGTAAATATAACATAATAATAATATATATTGATAAGTGAGTGTTTTTTTTAATCATCTTCCGTCATTTATCATAAAATGAGAATAAAATATATGAAATTTCAAAAATATAAACTTCATTTCATTCAATGAATTTCAATTTATTGATACTCAATACCTTGAATTTCTTTTATCTACTAAGTGCTAATTGGAAGGCTTTGAGAGCTTCCTATTGAACTCGTTTTTGTTTTATTAGGTACGGGCTATTACCGGGAATCAAAACCCTTACAAATGCAAGAAAATTAATTTCCTTCATTTTATATTTATTATGAGGTTTATTTACAAGCCTATCGTCTAGACCAAGAAATTAGAAAAAGAAAAGCGAAGATAACTTGTGGAAGGACCAATGGGAACCGGATTCTCAATGTTTGAATTGTATTGTTATTACGATTAAGGATCTAAGTTTAATGTGTGTAATGAAGACTGAACACCGGAACAGTTGAAGGGAGTATCTATTTCCGACGAAGCTCGGTCATTGACACTGATCCGGAACCACACATGAGCTATTAAGTACAAACAACTTTTATACTTTAATTGATACTGAAGTAATAATATCGAATTTCTATTGTTGTTCAATCAATGTGAACGAACCTTCGAACAATTTTAAGATGCCTTAAGCGATTTTGATCAGTTTCTTGGAAAACAACCCTTTGTTTGAGGTAGACGTGATGTGAGCGTCATAATATTCTCATCTTGCACCTACGTAATAAATACGGAAAATTAATAACTTTCCTAGAAAAAACTAGAGAAATCACAGTACAACATCTCATAGCTCTAACACATTAAATACATAATTTAAGAAGAAAGTTTTAATAAACAATTCTTATGCGACTCTTTCTTCAGAGTTGCAGGAGTCGTGGGACAGGTTTATAAAGGGTTCACTGACACAATGTGTTCGACGCTAAATAAATTAAGAATCGTCAAAGAACTTCTTATGAAGCGCAGTTGCATCATTGTAATAAAAATTCGGCCTAAAAAGTTGGTGCCTTTCTTCCGAGAAGGCGGCAAACGAGAAAGGGATTCACAGAAAGGCGCCCGATTCTTTCTTTCACTTGTTTTAAGCGAGGGGCGGCCTCAATAGTTCCGCGTGTATTGAATTCTTTGACAGATTATCTCTATAGGTGCTTTGGACAACTTTAACTGTGAGCTTAAAAGTAGGTGAACTTAAGTCAAGACGTACAACTTAATAATTTATCTAAATTTCTTTGTGTCGCGTGGTTTGTAGTATTCGTCCACATCATCGCCATTACGTTTGAAAGAGAGTACCTATGAATATTTAAATACCAAAGCAAATACCTAGAATTCCTTACGATCACCGGTTATAACTAATTGACATGACATTTTCTTTTTAAATATGATCCAGAAGAATAAAATTATGTGACGTTTTGTAAACATATATTTTCAAACATAAAAGGTCCTGTAGACATTGACCTAATTAGTTTGCTTAAGAAATTTTAACTAAAAAAAAGTTAACTGTAAAAAATTCTCGGAAATAAGAACATACCTATTTGCATTTTATTTCAAATCACGAAAATCGATTGGACGTGGTTGTATTTCCGTTCGTAGTGTAGAATCGCCCAGCCCTGTGTTTCTTTTTTTGCCCCCCGTGGATTCCAATGCCCCATGTCCAACCTGTAAGTCCAGCACTTTGCCGTGCATTGACCGCGCCACTGAGTGCAAAGCCGTTGGACAAGATACAGTGAACGTTTCGAAGATTCCCGTAAACCATTATCAACGATTTAGTTATATTTGCCTCCTCATCCTCTGTTTTAATATCGATTGTGTGTGTGTCAAACGTTTGGCCGATATAAGAGTAGAAATATAAGAATAATATTATAATATAATAACGGCTTAAAATGTAATTAATAATCTGTGAGTTTTCCTTAGTAATTTATAGTTAATTACCATTGGAGTGATAGTGTACGAAAACGTTTAATGTATGTAACTATTCACAGTATTTGTATGTGTTTGCTATATTTGTGTCATCGATCATGAGAATAGTGTAACTATTAGATAAATATGTGACGTTTGTTAGAGAAGGATAAAAAGGATCGTTGCGCGAATGAGACAGGACGAAAGAAATGTCGCGGCGCGGCGGCGGTTGCGCGCACGCCGTTCATTGATGGGCAGGCGCCGTGGAGGGATGAGGAGTGGGGGCGAGGAATGCGGCCGCGGCGAGCAATGACCGCGCCAGGGTCGCTTCCTTTACGAGAAGCGCGGGCCGTCGTACTACAGCCGATTCCCCTGCGCCCGCTCCCCCATGGTACAGCGTACTACATGTACATGGCTCTAGCGGCGGCGACGCGCGCGTTTCGATCCGCAGTCCGTTAGAAAAATTAAGTGCGCCGCATTCCGCGACCGTTTCGGTATCTCTATGGAACCTAGATGTCCTTATTTTTTTCGTCTTCTTTATATGGAATTTTAATGTACTTTATAATATCAAACACCGATACACCTGAAATAAATTAAGCAAAATACTTTCTCAAAATGCAACAATTGGTTTGGCCGTGCTATGCGTTCGTGTTCTACCAAATGTATTCAACGTTTTAGCTCACAAAAAGGCGTTCACATTTCCATTTCCCCCGTCAAAGTAGGACCAACCTATTTATAAAATCCAGGCTTTATCGCGGACAACAGATATTATTTATACTATGAAAAATATATACATTTTGGTAATTATTACCAGTATTATTGGACGAATTTTTGCCATACTCCAACTTATTCCATTATCCGAAATAATTACACAGACGGTTATGCCTCTGTGAAAATAGCTATCGCATCATTTAATTAAACAGTGTTATTTTACATTGTCAACGTGTAAAATATTAAATTTTCGTAGGTTTAACAACTCTATAGTAGTATTAATGCATTACGGCATTCGTTTTTTTTTTATTGCGCCGTTGAAAATTTGTAGACATCATTTCATACAAAATAAGGGAAAACCAGCCAGTACTTCAGCCCCTATGGGGTTTTACCTCAGTGTCTTAATAAATAATTAGTGATTGTGTCCTCACTGTCTTATAGAACATGGTTGTAGGGTTTTATTCGCATTTAAATTGATGTTAGTTATTAGTAATAATTACATTTTTATAGAACAATGGCACTGCCGCAGTGCCGGCATTTCGTTTCATGACTCCTCAAAACACTCTTAATGGTAAGTGCCAAAAGAAGAAGCAGCTATTGGTCGTGGACGGTTCAAACAGCTCTACGTCAAATGTAGGCAGAAGATGCTGGTACTGGTGAGCTACTACCCAGAGGAAAGTACTCCATGGGGAGCCGACTTTAGGCTTTAGTTGCAGTGGCCTGTATTTCACACTTTGCACACAGTTTACAATGACTGTAAACAATTAGTATAGCATTTATAGAATAAAATTTCGACGTTTTAATTAGGTTTTCATTTTCACATCAAACGCAGGTTGCAAACAATCAACAGACAACAAACCGGCTCTATCCATTTCGATGACAGGCAGACGTACATGAACATGGAAACGTATAAGCCAACTTATTATTCTCCCCTCTGTTTGGATCAGGGGTTAAAATTCGTTATCACAATATGTCGATTATCCTCACTATTCTGTTCATTAATGCATGGTATTTATCGCCATGAGAATATTTATTTTTGAAAAAGACTTTTTTTTTGTAACGGATATGTGGTTCGCATGATTAAATTAATCACTATCTTTAAGTCACATATCTGATAGAAATCCCGCAGACAATGGCATTCATAGCAGAGACATAAAAGTACACTTAAATAATAACAATGCAGTTGTAATTGGCAGACACACAGACAGAGAAGAAAGCATTTCGCGTCCAAGACATGTGCTACGATGTTTCTTCACAAGTGTTTATTACGAAAAGCTTGATAAGTTCGAACGCACGACAAGATTGAGAATCAACACGTTTAACCAAAAGAGTAATATAAGAACTAATATTTATTTCTACCACACAAATATACAGTATGAACAATATTCTTAACCTATGATTTATATATTTATACTTCGTTACCTTATATAAAAACATACATACAAAAAAAGCAGTACATAAGTTATTAGACAACGGGCGGCCTTATCGCGATTTCTTCCAGGCAACCCAAATATAGAACAATAATAAAAGAAACACCTACAGAGGGTAAAGTACAAGAAGTGCGTAAACAACATTACTACGTAGTATTGATTATAATAATAAAGAATAAAAAATAGAAAATTAAAACAAATTCAAAACTATTGGTCCCTTTTTTTGGTGGCAGTGGAGTGGACGCTGTAATTCGAGTATACTATATAATCATCTATTTAGCGCAGATGATTTATTAGGTAAACTTTTAGATGGTAACACAACTAGGTACTAACCATATAATTTTAGTGTCATGACAAATTAATTAGCGAAAGCAACAGGCAACAGAGCTTGCGCGACATCTAAACTCCGTAAAATAATTCAGATAATTCATATATATATACAACTCGACCAGAATTTGTTGTCATTTCAAAAGTACTAACCTACCTAATTAAATATTTATGAAACAGGTAATATTAGTTATACAATTAAAACTCATTTAATATTGTTCTAAGAATCACCTTTACCGCCTCCACTCAGCTAAAAAGCGTTTGGTTGATTAATGAAGTCTATATAATTTAATTTATCCTATTAATGTCGACTAAAACCACACTAAGCCCAACACTCGAAGCGTAGTTCACTAATAGTGCAATGAATAATGGATTCAGTAATCCATTGTCAAATAATGTAAAATTTGTGCAGAATCGTTCCGCGGATTGCAGACTCAACATAATCCACGTTCGTCGTCCGTGCATAACAAGATCGGCTCTTTTGACAATTTAAAACCATTTTAGTTTAAATTCATGTTTTCAAAAACGAACCTCTTTTTATTCTCAAGCCTCTTTTTGGTATGATTTTGCTATGGAGTTGTAGGCATGGGGTTTGCGTAGAGATATTGGCTCCCTCAGCATTATCTACCCCATGTATCTGGGAGTACTCTGAAAAATTGTTTGGACCATAATGGGACATCGAGGTAGAATTCGAGATTCTATCCTTATCACCTTATTAGTGTGTTTTTAAGCAACTTTCTGCCACGCACCACTGCATTGTGTGCAAAAGTAGCATTCGCTCAAAGCCGCCACGCCACACCCGTTAGTCTCCAGGCATAGGTGCCCATAAAATATAAAATTAATCAAACATTTCCTGGATAATTAATAATTATATTATCTTACCAAGAACACACACAGGATTCATCTCCTGTGTGTGACTACAACTAAGCAGATAAAGAAATTTATCGGCTTAGCAGGCAGACTATTGCAAACAATATGTAAATCTGCTGACAGGGCAACAGGTCTTCATTCAAGTCACAGGATTAAATAAATGAAAGCCGAGACCAAAATGTGAAAAATGTTTGACCAATTCGCAAAAACTTTAACTATGGAAATTTGGGGTCACTGGCATTCCTGATCAAACCGATGGCAACCGGACGCGGCGAGCTCGGCATTGCGGCGTCCTGCATACTCGAGTTGTACCACAAAGTTGATAAAGCAACATAGCTTGTATGTATGCTTATATAGTTGGTGTCCCACACGGTGCAATGCGCGACCCTGACGCGCTGCCTTCGGATGCACCGAGCGGCGCAACGTAAACATCACGCAAGGTCAGATCCTACTACGTCTTAACTTTTTTTTAATAAACGCTGTATGCAGTACAGTTCGTTATCGGTTTATTGTTTCCAATAGTTCTCGCAGCTTCTGTTTGTATTAAAGTTATAAGATTGTTTATTAAAATATGTTCTTATAATTTTCAGCAAATTTAACATCCACTTTTTCGTAATCGCCTTAGTATTGAGAAATATTATGATAACAGCTTACAGTATTTTGAGATGCTGATTAAAATGATTCTAAGAAATACTTCTGAAGTAAGCTTATAAGTCTCTTAACGGCTTTTGCGCTTCGAGTACAAATTAATTCTACGAAAGTGTTTTTGATAGAGTGTTTTTAGCTTTGTAATATAATTGGTAGATTTTACTGAAATTTTGCAAGATATTCCAATAAAGAAAAACGGGAACGAAATTCCTAACAAATTGGAATTTTCGGTTTTGAACCAATCTGTGATTTCTAGGTCTGTATTCAACTGTATCAATAAAAGAGATGGTTCTTTGTTTTAAAAATGAAACATGGAAACTAGGTTTTAGATATGTAAATAAGTGAAATGTATTTTTTAGCACATAAAAACAACATAACGGGGAAACCAACATAGAATGTCAGCACCTAACTAGCTATATATAGCTGTTTCGAGACAAGATCATTAACTTATTAGATATTATTGAAAATCACTTAATTCTAGGAACCCTGCACGCAAATCACATAGGATTTAATCTACTTAAGCACTCCGTTGATTTGCAATTGGTAATTGTAATTCAACATCTTCGAATATTTTCCAATGGCAAATTTTTCCTTTCTTTTTGTTCACTTTCGGGCACTATAAAAACAATAATTTAACATATGGATTTTGTGAGTATATATTTTAAAGAATGGGAATGAAACTTTGCTATTATACTAAAAACAATATAATTTGTTAAACTATATATTAAATATTAGAAACAAGGACTTAATGGGCCGAGTGTTGCTTGGGGGCGGAGAGAAAACCTTCTCCCGAAAGAAACACCTTTCTATCAGCATTATGTTTCTAAATACCTAATATTACATTATTTACACGTGGTATAGGCAGCCCTATAGCTAATCGATTCCTTTACCACTGAAAAGAAAACAGTGAAATAAATAATAATAACTAAAGTCTCATGAAGGCCACACTACGATCAGGGTTGGGCTGGTGGCTTAGGCGTGCGTTGTTTATCCCTGAGATCGTGCTTTAAAATTGCGTTGCACCAATGTGCGCATTAATACTTGCTTCTAAAGTGAAGGTATTTTTTTTTAATCTAAGCTGATCATTTACTTATCTATAAAATAAAATCCATACAGCGTTGTAGCGCCCCTATATTATTATTAGTTCACACTATGACTATGCTAGATAAACATAGATATAATATCTCTCTGGATGCGAGTATGAGTAGAAAAGTCCCTGAAAGAGAGTCGAGTCACAACACGGCTGTGACCTTCGCCTGACTAAAATGACGAGGTAGAAAAGTATCAAGTTATTCAGGCTTCCCACATTTGAAAGATCGGGAATCCTTTTCAACTTATTATTATGAACGCCTACACTCAATCTCGTCCATTAAATCATTTCTAATAATAGAATAATAAGTAAAATAATTAGTACCAGACAATTAGGTTATAAACAAGTTGTGATCTTACTAGGAAATTAAATATGAGTTGAGAATGTAAGCTATAATTAAAAAACGATATACAACATTGGAAATAATATATTCAGTAAAGACTAGAGCACAGCTGTGAAGTACTTAACCACTTTTGTATATTAAATATTATGGTTTGCATCGATTGTTCCAATGTTTAATCCAAGGGTAATAGGCTCACTCATTTAGTAGCGCTGAAGAATGCTGCAGGACCAGTTAGGACGCAAAGTGGTTCTCATAACTGCGTATAACCATTTTAATTCAAAGTTGAATGAGTTTCAACGTATATCTCCCGCATAGTTGCAAGTGCGTATACACATATATGTATGGACATACCGCCCTCAGGCTTATTGTTGTTTAATAACAGTTTTTTCCAAATTTTATAATATAACTGTTAGATATAAAATAACGCTTTATAGGTGTGATGTTATGGGTACAAAAATAGCGACTTGTATACTCCTACGATGCAGCCCACCTAGATTAAATTAAATTCAACTCATTCATATCGTACTCCTACACATTTGGTCTTTATTCAATATACATATATTCGTGTTGAAAATGTATATTTATTATTACTCTCTCCGTTATGTACTGATATCGCTTTAACTTTGTGCGGTTATGCAAACTAAAGTCTAGACGGTATAATTCTTTTACGCGTAAATTTATACTATTAATTTACTCATATAAATTACAAGATAACGAAAAAACCGTTTTTGTACTGTACGGTTTCTGGGTCGGGATGTTAAATACAGGATATTATTTTCGATCTATATTTATGGCTTACGTATATAATATATATCTTCCTACTAGCTGACCCGGCAAACGTTGTTTTGCCATGTCTATTACTTGTAAGAAAATTTTTTTTAGTTCAATAACAATAACTATCTACTATAATAAAAATAGGGGTTTATCGTAGAGGGGTAAAAAGACTTGTATGTATTTGCGTATGCTGTAAAAATGAATACTTAATAATTAAATACAATGCTATGCTTATAATATGCTAAAAAGAGTCTCGCTATACTCTCGAAGCGTAACGTTAATGCTATAGGTAATCACTACGCATATAAAACTAAGAAAGCCTGCGTGGGCAAAATGCAAAACAAACATGAACAAGATGAAAATGTTAACACGATGATTCAATATATTCTAAAAAGCCTCTAATTTCCGAAATGCTTTAGAGTCTGAAATATTATGGTCTTGCACTTTACCGGTGCCCTGTCTTGCCACTACAGCCCTCTGAAGTCTGCGGAACAGACGATCCCAACACCCGTTTGATGACAACTGTAGCACTCCACTAATTGTCTTGAGCGCTTTCAGAGAACTAAGGCACACATATTGGCATAAAAAGACATTAGTGTTATGGTGAATTCAACCATGACCTATGCTAAATGTAATTGTTATATTACCTCGGTTATTTGATAGTTACATAATTTGCTTTGTAGTTAACTTTTTACAATAGGTTAATCCACTCGAAATATGATATTTTGCTGAAATGAAGATCCTCATAATATAATATTATATTCCGTTTTTACATAATGAATATTGAATCTCAATAAATTTAGGTTTCGCATATATCTGTAATTAAATATACGTAATGATGCTTTGAGAGATTTTTATTAAAGAATTTGTATGCTGCTTTTTCCTTTTCTTCCGGTTACTCATATTTGACTCATTGGATTGCATATAACTATAATAGTTTCATCATCGGACGTCGAGGTAGAATACGAAATTCCACCCGAATCACCTCGACGTCCGTCGTTCCACAACTGAGCGTTTTCTAAGGCAGTTTTTGCCGCGCACCACCACTATGTGGAACCAGCTGCCCACTGAATTATTTCCGAACCATTTCAACGTAGGGTCTTCTTCTTAATTCTTAAAAGGCCGGCAACGCACTTGTGAGCCCTCTGGCATTGAGAGTGTCCATGGGCGGCGGTATCACTTAACACCAGCCTTCTGCCCGTTTAGACATATACATCGACATAACATTTATTACTAACAAACATACACACAGAAATACTCAAAATAACAATAGCAAAAAAAGAATGAAAGATAACAATTTTTATTAAAGCACAAGGTACCCCGTTTGCCCTTGTTCTATAAAAAAAATAACTGAATCAGATTGCAGTATAATGCTTTTATGCGATCCTGAATCAATGAGTCTGAAACGATAAGGCTTTGAAACCTTCCCCTGTTACGTCAAACGTCATTCTGAAGGGAATTAGAAAATTTTATTTTTGTTTCTCCCCCTTGACGGTTCTGTAAATTCCATTGTACGAGTATGGTTACCTACTTTTCTTTGTAATTTCTACTATTTCACTTATGCTTGCTGTTTAGATTTCTTGCCGTTATTCATAAGCAAAACATGTAATTTCTATGCAACCTCTTCTGTTCCACGTTAAAATCTGCTATGATTATTTTTATTTTTATTTCTCTGCTTGAATCAATGCTTGAATTGGTGATGAAGTGAAAGGCCTAATACGAAGCTTTGATTTATATTTTTATTATTCTTATAAGAAACGATGATGAAGATAAGGAAAATTAGTAATTTTCTGAATTGGTAATTTTCCTTATCTTCTATTTTCTTCTTTGCTTGTAAGTATTTCCTGCTTCTGATAATCACATTACACTAACTTTAACCTTCGCCCTCAATAACCACTAATTAAGTTCCCACTACTAATTACTTTCCGTTTTCTGAGCTATGGGTTACCAGAAATTCTCTCCTCTTAAAATTCCTCCCATGATCATTTGTAATATTTATATCTACAGCTTCTATTGAATTCGGGGTCTCTTAAATTAATGCTTGAAATATGTTGGAATATCTGCTAAAAGTTTCGTTAGGCAATTTACTAAAAAAATCTTCATAATGCATTAATTGGATAATTACTATGATTTTAAGCATGACAGTATATTTGACCTGTATGCTGTGAAGTTTCTCCTT